AAAAATGTGCAAATAATATCCTGCCCTAATCATAAGGAAATTATTATAGCTTCAATCCAATGCATGTTTATTTCTAAATTCTAATGGACTTCTAAGCATTCAGATGACTCTTGTTTTGGATTTAATCCACTGTAAGTTAAGCATACCATGGCCATCTAACCTATGGAAGAAATAAAGCATATGAAAATCAGATCCATACAGGATGCCCTGGAATTCACTCACCCATAGGTTCTTTGATAACACCATAATAATCTGGAGCATCATTGGGATCTACAGGTTCTAAGAATGGCCAAGCCATCTTGTGAGCCTATTAGGAAAAAGATATATCATTCATTAATATGACAAGCCTGCTTTCACATCAACTCTATTGCTGCTGTACACTGGGAAAAGCAGGGAGGGAATCGCTTGTAGAAGAACTCTGTCCTACTGCTCCCTGCAAACTGAACAGAGTGGGCTGTTGATTTCAGGTGAGGTTCATTTCACAAAGGTCTGCTCAGCAGTTTTCATCTCACTGGCTGAACTAAGTTAGCTTCATCTTCCCAAAGGTGTATCGTAATGCAGTGAATCCCTTGATTTACTAGACTGCAATTTAATAGACCTCAGATGCAATGGACAAAATTCCATTTGCATTTAATGGACTTTGAATCTAATGGACACCCATTCCTGTGATCTTGTGAAACTGAGGCTTAGAGAAGGGCAAGCAACTAAGGCCCCTTTATGACCTGTGGACTTCAACTTACAGATGTAATGGACTTCAACTCCCAGAATTCTAGATCATAAAGGGGCCATAGTTGCCCGTCTCTGGCTTAGAGTCTGTCTGTTGGTGCATCAATTCAACAATATTCTCTAATGTAAGTTTCAGCCTTACCTGTAATGAACGTAGCACTCTCTTTAGCCCTTCATAATCTTTGTCAGTCAAAGGACTGAGAACTGTCATGGCATCTTCAGTTGACTGACATTGTGGACAGACATACTCATCAATGAGATCTGCCTCACTTTGTAAAATACCAACGCAGCGCCCATGATACCAATTCTGACATCGGTCACAGCCAATGTAAAATCTGCAAGATCCCAAAGAAAACGGTTAACACCTTTAATTCCACATTATGACTTTTCCTTGGTTAACAAATTTTAAAAAAATGGGATTCTTAAGTTCACACTTAAAATTTCTGAAACCCAATTGAAAGCACAGCTTTATCAACCATGCTTATTATCTCAGACAACTTCTTAGTGCTGAAAGGAACAAAGATCATAAACTGTGATTTACAAACAAGATTATCAGAGATTCTCCTATCCTTTGGATCAACATTTTGTAAAAGATACTATTACTACATTGGTAGACTATCTGTAGAAAATTGACAACTGAGTCCTATGAATGGGGCACTAATAGCACTTATATACTGATTTTGAAATTATAATCATAACTTTAGCCTAAACTAAAATTAATATGAGTTTGAATAAATTACAAACTCCTAGCAGGTAAGGAAGGCATTTTATGGAAACTTGCTCAATAAATCAATAAAAAAATAGTCTGCTTTGACGAATACCAAGTTTTACTCACTAGAAACCTCCCTTTCCCTGAGTGTCACATAATACAATTTACTGTCATTTTAGAGATGTTTAAAATCATGTCACTAGATACAACAGATGTTGAACAATATTTTTTTGTTCAAGAAACACATTACCAAACTCAGAGCAGTTTGCTACCTAAATATTAAATAAGAGGTTCTTGTCAGAACTCACTGTGACTCATCATAAGGTGTTCTGCAGATACAGTACAATTCCTCACTGCTGCCCTCTTGTGCCCGTTTACACTCATTACAGATGTACACATCCATTTTCTTAGCCTCCTTTTCTGTGATGCCAACACATTCTCCATGATACCAGTTAGTACAAAGATCACAGCCAATATAGAACCTAAAAGTATTTACAATGAAAATGACAATGTAATTGTCATTTCAAATGGCAAGGCACTTGCTAACCTGACTCTGTCTATTTGAATTAAATTTCCTTAACCACATTAATCTACTCTTCCCAAACTAACATAGAATAAAAACTTGCCAGCTCCTACTTTAATAGACAGTTCTTCATATTTTTGCAAAACAACAACAACAACAACAAACAACAAAAAGTACTGAAATCTGAAAAATGTGAATGTCTCAACTATGAATGCAGAAAGACGTGGCAAAAAAAAAAAAGATCTATATTTTCAAAACTTTTGCTAAAAAACTATGAAACACATTGATCACTCTTAAATTTTGAAAACATAGGTCTCAATGTAAAAATAATAATAAGCAAAGTGCAGATACAACTAGAAGTTACAGGTACACTTTTTAAAAAGCAGCATGCATACCAGCCATATGTAAAACACATATTGGTATAACATGACATGAAGGAAAATGGGACATGTGGATACATGTTTTCTACGAAACTGCCTGAAATTTCTCTCAAATTAAAAACGAAAATTAGGGCAGGCTATTTATTCAAAAACATCTCTTTTTAGAAAACTTTGTGTCAGGTCAAAAAGCATACAAGTAGGCAACCTCATCCTAGTGTACTTACAAAGCTCCACTTGACAGTATTCAAGTTCAACCTATTATAACAAAATAAGGGGAAAGGCCATTGTTTATAAGAACCTCTGGCTTGGAACAGAGGTAACATGGCTTTATGCCATGCAAAACTAACCTCTAACTCAAAAGGGACCCTTCCCTTTGTTTACTGCCCCTTCCTCACTCCCTTCTTTTCTTCTTTCAGTGATTCAAGTGTGATGCTAGTGCTGCCTACCATGTTTGCTGGTTCAGATATATAGTTTGACTCAAACTTCTGAGGGAGGGAATGGTATGGAAGAAAGGAACACAACTTCCCTCATTCCCGTTTCATTTGTGTACCGCTATGCAGGTAGTCCTCAACCTACAGGTGTAATTGAGTTCAGAATGACGTGAGTGTGCCCAATTTACATAATGACCATAATTGCAGGCCCGTTACCAAGCACCCAAAATATGACATGTTTGTGGGATAGCGCCCCCCCCCCAGCATACCATAACTTTGAATTAGGGTCAAAAGTATCTTATTTTTGTCTGTTAGAACTTTGGCCACTAAGTGTCCACTTGTAAGTTGAGGACTACCTATATCTGCCTCGATATTATATCTGATAGCTGTAATCTCAAAATCAGTTAGAATATCCTTAACACCACCCCTACTGCATAATCTCCCTTTGAATACTACATTATGAAGCGTCATGCTGCTATAGAGTGCTCTGTAGGCACACTGATCTCCACTCCTGAGAAAACAGAAAACCTTCCCTGCAATATGCCAGCAAACATTTGCTATGGCTTCTGCTCTAAATGAAGAATGAAATAACTTTTTCTTACAAACCGCTCCAAAAATTACCCCCACCATCCTTTTTCCAATGCAGTCCTAATGATTGTTTACTAATTCTAAGCAAACAGCTTTGATATAAATATGCCAAAGAAACATATAGCATATTATAGCTGGCACCTAAACTACTAGAGTAAATCAAGCTGATAGCACTGTCCCCCTAAACTCCTTCTCAGGACCACTGTGTGGGAAAGTCAGTCCTGCTTAAATTCTATTAACATCTAGGTGCTCCATAATCAAGACCCTTCTCCTAGGCTTAAAGTCAACGAGATTCACTCTTAGGCTATCTTTACCCAGGATTTTAAGGGAAAAGACAATGCAGCATAAAAATATGTACAGAAGGCAGTCTGCTTTCATCCCTTCCATTAATGATGAGCCTAGTTCAACAGAAGGAAAGCAATGGCCTTATTGAATCTTAACTATTTTTAATCTATAAATTATCTGATCTTCCAATGAACTCTCGCAATACTTTCGGCATGGTAAAAGATCTAATCCTCTTTCTGAATTGAAAAGCAACTATTATTGATTACAATAATTTTTATATATGTATTTATTTTAAAATTACTGTAGTCAACATACATGCTTGCGTACACACTCACACACACACAAATACTATTAGGGCTTAACTTCTAGTGCCACATTTTGAAGGAGATGTTTTTTATTTTTATTCACATTCTCTCAGTAAATGCTAATTTTATACAATAGACAGACTTGAGACTCAGGTCTCCTATAAATATTGCACTTAACCATATAAGTTTAGAATTTTAAAGTTCTAGTATTGATTTGACAAAGAACTCTAGATAAACAACAAGAAAACCAGGACATGTTCATAAAAAACTTCAGCTATGCCATTATGATTAAGCTGCCAACTTTTTAGTCAAGTCAGTTCTGTGAGTGGAATAGTTAGGTCTCCAGCTAGATTTCTCAAATATTACTTGCCCTTTTTAAATGATCCAGATATCCAGCGATATCCAGATCAAAAGCTTATTTCTGACCTGTTCAGTTATATTAGCGATGGTATACTGATGTTTTTAATAATTACATAAATGTATTTTTCATTTTTATTATTAAACAATATTTTAAAGACCTGCCCCCTTCCATTTCCCCTGAAATAAAATAAATTAAAAGATTCATCTAGATTGACAGCACTTGGAACTCTACAGAAACTGTACTGTAACGCATTCATCCTTCAATTACTCTATAATCTACCTCCTATCTGGCAAATTCAGAATATAAAATGTGTATCCTGGCATTTAAAAAGTCCCCTCTCCGCCAAACAGTTTTATACACACACACACACACGTATACATATATGTACACACACACACACACACACACACACACACACACCCATAAATATATTTAGAAATGATCTAGAGCCTGCCCCAAAAACTAATCTATAATCCATTGATCCTGAGTGAGAAGGGGGTTGAGACAAAGTAAAGAATGTGCAATGTGAGACAAGATCATACAATGGAAACATGCAAGTAAGATATGAATCACAAAGGCCTGCTTTGAAAAAAAAAACATACAGTTGAGAATCCTTTTTAGTCCTTTCTCAGCGAATTACGAAATAAAACAGCATCTAACGTTTCGCTCCATTTCCATCCCTCCAGCCCAGCTACTAAAAACTAAAGGCTAAAGCTAAACTAAAAGCCCTTCCAGCGCTACAGATTCCTTACTCACTTGGACTCGTCGTAAGGCGTCTTGCAGATGCAGTAAAGCTTTGTATCCTTCTTGGTTTCCTTTGAGGTAGTAGAAATCATTTTCTTTTTCTTGGATTTTGAAGAGGCAGACTCCTTCTCTTCCTCTCGCTTCCTTTTGTGGGATGAAATATAGGATGTGCCTGAAGTGGTGGAGGGAACACTGGGAGGTGGTAGAGGTGGTGGTGGTGGCGGTGGTGGAGGTGGAGGTGGTGGCGGTGGCGGAGGTGGTGGGAGAGACAGTGCTGCAGCTGCTGCTGCAGCCGCTGCAGCCGCTTGGGCCTTTTCTTTTTCTCTCTTAATTTTAGTTAGATCCTTCTTTAGTTCTTCCTAAAGAAAAACAGAAGCACAAAATAATACGCATAGATACATCTTACAATGTCAAAGTCTATCAAACTTCTATGGAAAAACAAGTATTTGGGTAGGGTTAGTGCTAGTCACTTCTGCAAAAACACATATGCTTTCTTGCTGGGGGCCTTTCAAATTTCTTCCACCCAAGAAGACCTTGGCACTGAGCTTGTTGCAGGACAACAAGTTATTAAAAGCATCTATGTTACTAGCAATAAACTGGTTCTGGCTTAATTATGTGTACAATAAATATTTATGCCGTTCAAAAAAATAGTGGAGGCAAATTTATTAATATTCCATGCCGAATTCAAGTAGGTAACTTTGTATGAACCCAGCTTTTGTTTCTGCACCTTAAAGGAATAGTAACAACAAAAGGTTTCAGCTACAAGACAAAGGAAGCTTTCAAAAGACATTCTCCCAAATCCGAGCATTTGTCCCACTGCCATTCAGTAACTACTAAAAAGGAAGAAAATAACATCATAGGATATCAGCACTGTCGCTAATACATTAATCCCCCAGTTGCTAGAAGCAACAACATCTGGTTTCTACCCCAACGTTTCTTAAACATTTTTTCTCTCAGGACCCCTTCCCATTTTTAAAAAAATTACAGAGAACAGCCAACAAGATTCTGTTTGTATGGGTTATATTTATCAATATTTACACTAAACGGACACACTTGCTGTCTCTACTGCTTCTCACAACTGTTTGATGGGATTTTAATACTGTATTTTTTAACAACATAGGTTAGCAAGTAATGAATGACAATTTTGGTTCCGATAGTGCCAGAAAGAATACTGATTCTTGAACTCCATGTTCCACCCTTGTCTTTGAAAGAAAGAACTTGGCATGCCGATTTGCACACGCTATTAATGGTTCCCTCCTGCCCAACACTAGGCTGCCTGACAGCTGTATCTCACCTCTCACTCTCTGTGCTGGTAACACAATGTGCAAGCACACAAACCATAATCCCCTGCTCTCTGTCCATGCTGATAAGTCTAAATGCAGGCATGCACGCAATGCTTGCCTGACTCCTGCTCTTTGGGCTGCTGGCAACTTGGCACACATAACTGTTCATGCAGAGCATCATGGCCCCTCCCACGGTTCCCTAAAAACCGCACCATGAAACCAATGCATTCTGAAGCCCTTCCCTCCCCTTTGAATCCAAAGCACTGCACAGTTGAATATTAACAACCGATTAGCAACCCAGAATAAAAATGACTTCAAAGGTGACCAATGACTATCAGAATTAGATGAACCATCTGTCTCACCAGTCACCTTCAAATTGAAGCTCAGGAAAATATAGTAAACTACACATTTAGGCATATGGGATTGGGAGGAACTAAATATGCTCTTTTGTGGAAAAGGACATAAGCTGAAAAGGGCTAACTCTACGTTTTGCCTGTGGACGCAAAACGATAAATCAAAATATTGTGTCACGTCTCCAGGCATGATTAAGAATGACTATTTTACCTGCACTTCAATTTGCAGATCTTTGTCCAAAAGTGCTCTTTTCTTCAGTATTTCAGCTTTCAGTTGCTCCTTATGTTTGAAGAGTAGAGCAGAGAGTTTTGAAGCATTCTGTTTACTGCGCTTTTGTTCCACGCTTTCTTCCCGTTTCCGTTTCTTAGCTGCCTGCTTTTCTTCTTTATCTATTTTATCCAGAATATATTTCATGACTTGGTTGCACACGATCATTCTGGAGAAGAAATACAAAAGGATGTAATTAAATAGTAATCATGTGGAGGGGAGAGGGGGAGAGAGAGACTGTCAACTAAATTTTATGCACTATAATAATTATACCCAAAACTACATAATTCTCAACTGAGAATAATAGTCTTTTTATTAAAAGGAAGAGCTTCTGAGCTTGCCCGCAGCACATCATTACATGCTGATCTGTACCTCCTACAATATTAAGAAGCCAAAGAAATGTTTTCGTCGCTGGATCAAGTCAACGGTTAGGTTAGTTGCACCTGATAACACACATTTTATTACAGACTGTGTGGATGACCAAATCAGAAGCATCATCTAGCAAGTTTGATATAGTTCTTGTCAACCAATTATATTTTGTTTGGAGAAGCAGAGAATGGGAAAAGGACACATCAGATGTATGTAGTATTCCTTATTTATCAGTGATTGCCAACCAGTCATTTTCCCTTTCTTAGTTTTATGTTTTCATACTGTATAGTTGCTGACTTTTGCTATTCCTGCTCCTCCTACCTCAGCAAATAGCAATTTAATACACCGTTATTACTCCACCATGTAACACAAAGAAGCCATGGATTGGAGCAAAATAAACTCAATATCCAAGAGACAAATTTGATTTAACTACTGCAACGAACACCCATTTTATAATAACCCCTTCTGGTGTCAATGGCATTCTGGAAAACGTAGTAGAAAGGCAGCTGGAGTTGGAAAGGACAAGCTTCTTCCTTGGGATATGGTCTTCAATCTTTCTATTGGTATCACTCCGGAAGACCTAGTTATTTTTCAGGAAGAGCCTCTGCCCATCATAGGGATGGATCTTGGAAGTTTGCAAATAGACAAGATTACCTCATCTCAGGTAACAGTACAGAAAGTTGCTGTACGCAGGTCTACCAAAGAGCAATGCTTAACTACGGTAACATAAGGAGCTGTCAGTCCTTAGCCTGCTCTGCCTTGGTGCCCAGGAGCCTTTGACAGGAAGGAGTCTTAAATAAGACTTAGTTCATTTACAGAGCTGCCAAGCTGGGTCTCAGTGATGACCCCGCACACCTATCCAGATAGTCCAAATGTGGCAATTCCTGTGCCACTTTTTACATCTTATGTGGGTCTGTGTTTGTGCATTCTTATGTTAGCAATCTCACAATCATGTGGCGAGTTGGGAGTCATGACAGGTAATTAGTAGAACTCGTGTTGCTTAATTTTGGATAACACATCTGCCCTATGGAATAGAATTCTGACATTGGGAGACACAGAAAAATGTTTCTGCTTTTCATCTCTTAAAAATATAGGCTTAGATCTCTGAAATCATAGGACGACACATTTAATGGAAAAGGATGAGGAGGAAATGTTACTATTCCCTATGGCAGTAGCTTGCACTCTAAAAGGTCTCCAAATAATAGGGAGGAATGTCTGCAATATGAAGGACATTAAGTCAGTCAGTCATACAGGGCTGGAGGGAAAATAAATGCAAATAATAACTATATTGTTCTTTTTTTAGGAAAAGTTTCTGCTGGATCAGAAAAGCCATTTCCATTTAGTGTATGAGAACTCAGGATTCCACTTATTGTGGGAGCTATTATAACTCGTGTTGCACTATCACATATAGTCCAGCAGGAAACACTGAAAGACCCATACTGGGTTAATTATAATTTGCCTTACCGTTGATTCTCTTCACGTTCAGCAGGAGTTAATGTCTTTTTCTGTTTTAAGTGCTCTATCACAGCATTGTGTTTCATTACCACCTTGAAGACAAGGGAGGGGGGGGGAATTCAATATATGAAAACTTCAAAGAGCAAGAAATAACTCTTAAAACCTACAAATAACTCAAAATCTAAGCACCAGAGAGATTAAACTGAAGATGGTCTTTAATTGCCACCTTACTGTCATTGCAATTTGGACAAAAGGTATTCACTTGCCTTCCTCTGAAGCAAACCTGAAGAGGTCCCAAAAGGAGGAAGAAACAGGAGAGGTGGAAATACCAGCTGCAGAGAAAAGGTAGGGAAAGGAGGACCAGGGCTGGGAGTATAATATTACTCACGTATCGATGCTTGGGAAGTGAAATGTTTTTTTTAAAAAAAAGCTATGAAAGAAAGGCATCTAAATAAGTAGAAATGAGGAGATGTCTATAAGGAACACTATCTTAAATAGTTTGGGGGGAGGGATCAGTCTAGCATTAAGAGTTTAGGAGAGACATTGAACTTAGGACCTAGTTCACCATCATGTTCAATGTTTCAGATCTCTCTCTGTGTTTATACCTTCCTCCAAAATGTCCTTGATCTACTCTCCAATAAAATAATCAGAAATCAATAATGCCCTTTGGGATAATTATCATTAAAATTTATGCTCCTTATTAGATTCTTGTCATATCCCTTTCCTTCTATAGATTTTTTTCAAGTTTCAAGAATATCCCAAAGAAAACGAAGAAAAAACAGGAAGGGGTTCAGAAGCGAGGTAACAATATCCTAGAACCGTGATCGCGAACCTATGGCATGCGTGCCACAGGTGGCAAGCAGAGCCATTTGTGTGGGCACGCAAGCCCAGCCAAACTTACCTGCACTGCGCATGTGCGTGCCTCCCAGCTGGTTTTTGGCCCGTATGAGGCTGCTTTCGCCCTTCCGGAGGCTCGAGGGAAGCCTCTGCAGCCTAGGGAGGCTGAAAAACGGGCTTTCCGGAAATATCAAAGTGCCCATTTTCAGCCTCTGAAGGGCCTCTGGAGCTTGGAGGAGGTTGATTTTGCCTTCCCGGGGGCTCAAGGGAAACCTCTGCAGCCTCGGGAGGCCAAAAAACGGGCCTGTTTCAGCACTTCCGGTATTTCCATCACTGACCCAGAACTTGGGATAAGATGGGAGAAGAATTTCTTCCGCAGAAAACTACAGGCTAGGGGTGTCCAACATTGACAACTTTAAGACTTATGGTCTTCAATTCCGAGAATTCCACGCTGGCTGGGGAATTCCAGCAACTGAAGTCCATAAAATCTTAAAGTTGCCAATGTTGGACATCCCAGCATAGACATTTGATGCTTCTCCCTGCTTCCTGGAGCAAAGGTGGGAAACAACCTATGGAAGGACACTTCCTTTTGCAGTTGGAAAAGTTAGATCATTTGTGTGATATATTTTGTACCTGAAAATATTTTAGGTATTTGGCAACAGTCACACCTAGGATTTTTTTTTTCTTGAAATGTATCCTTAATATTCTACAGTTGAAGAAGGTACAAAAGATGACTCTTACTGAAAGTCCAAAATTCTAAAGGCTAAACATAGAGAACAGATGAATTTGGAGCACAGACTTGGTTAATCCAATCTTTCTTTTAATTCTGCTGTTTAATTTAGGACTGAGGAGAGCTTTCTGTTATAATTCAATAATTCTGAAAAGTTATGTTAAAGAGATTTAGACTGAACATCTCTTACTTTGACAAGAAGAAAATAAAAGGTACATCACCAAGGATTTGATCCTGAAAAACTCCATGATTTCTCCTTATCATACTTAAACCAAAGATGAAGCTAAATTTAGAATAACCTCTCTCCAAAAGGATAATTAAACAAACAAACAAAAAAGTCTGTCTCATTTGTTTCTTTTATAACATTCACAGCCAATCTAAGCTCATTCTCCCATTTTTAAAAGTTAATTCCAGGGGTGAAGGAAGTATTCACTTTGATTCAAGTAAATGTAGTGATATGCCAACTGAGAAATAAAGTTTTGCTTTCTCTTTAAAACACTTTACCTGTTTTTGGATAATATCACTCTGATTAGAAGCCTGAAGGGTATGTTCCCGTTTTATTTCAATATGCTGCTGTTTTTTCTTCTGCTGTTGCTCTCGAAGCTGCTGTACTCTCTGCAGTTGTTCTTGGACACTGGCTTGAACAGTTACTACATTCTGGATCTGGTGGGTCTGCACTGCGCTGGCCTGTTGAATCTGAATTGGTAACTGGAGCTTAATCTGCTGAGGCAGGCCGCTCTGCTGAGCTTGAATCTGGGCCACCATATGGGACGGGAGCTGGGAAAACACTTGGACTTGCTGCTGAAGCTGCGGCACAGTAATGACCTTGGTCTGGGGGGGCTGAATCTGCAGCTGAGGGCGTGGAGGTGGTATCGTGACTTGGCTGACAGTTGAAACAGGCGACAGAGCTGGAACTGACGTTGGGACCTGAGAGTGCTGGGTCTGGATCTGCAAGGGTGGATGTGGTTGGATCTGAACCTGCTGCGAGGCCACAGTCTGTATTTGAGTTGGCTGGATCGCCTGTCCTTTGGGTGGGATCTGCAGATGCACAACTGGCTGGGCTTGGTTCTGTGCTGGAGCTAAAGGGGGTCCTTGTGCAAGGCTCTGGGGCGGAGGCTGAGCCACAGCTGGAGTTATGGTCGATTGTGTTCTGGGTGGCTGTGCTTCAGAGGTGATTGCTGGACTTGGAAGTGAAGGTGGAACCTGAGCTTCAGGGGAGGGGTGGGTTTCAACTGGAACTGGTGCCTGCCCAGTCTGGGTCTGTGCCGGCATCACAGTCTGAGCTGAACTGCCTGGAGGCTGAGCTGAAAGCGGAGGAGGGGCAGGCTTGGGCTCAGCAGGTGGAAGTGCTGGTGTTGGCTGTGTTTGGGTCCTTGCAAGAGATGCTTGCTTCTGTTCTCCTGCAGCTGGGGGGATAAAAACAAGACTCATATTCACAGCTGCAAAGAACAGCTCCTCTGCCTTAAAAACATTCATCACACAATACACCCAGTGATCTGAAGCCCGAACCGTGTGTGTGTGTGTGTGTGTAACTATATATACATAATTTAGTTTTATAAAAACCTCCCGACTTAGCAGAGATTCTGGGTTGTGTATTATTAAAATTCCTAAAAACAGAGAAAATAACATGACATAAAGACACAGTGGAAACAATATACAAAAACCAAGAGACACCACACACCAAATGGCACCACACCAGTCTACCCCAGAAGAAGCCAAGCGTCTAAAGATTAAACAGGCACCATGAGAGAGAAAGGATCCTTTTTAGGTTTCATCAGATGACCTCAGATGATGAACTTTACAGGACACCCAAAAATGGTGAGAGGCAGGCAATCTCCCAGCTAGTCAAACCCTAGCCAGGCCATCAGTGACATTACAGCTGATAACCAACACCTTGAATTGCATCCAGGGAGCTTACTGGTAACTAGCTGAGTTTATATGGGTATTGGTTAGGCGTATGCTGATAGCTGCTTGCTGGATCAGTTACACCTTGCTCTGGATCAGTTCTGGATCAGTTACACCTTGCAAGTAGTCTTCAAGGACAGCATCGTGTAAAGCCCTGATCATGAGATAGGATTCTCAGTCCAGCTACCCCATCCAAAATCAACAACCGAAAAGCATCAAAAGAGCCGAATATTCACAGCAACTTGGTCTTGTCAGAATGGAGCCTGAGCTTGTTTCTTCCCTTCCAGATCTGAACAGTCTCTAGATGCCAAGTTCACAGCATCATCCTACACGGCTGAGTATCATCAGTGTACTGACGGCACCCAACTCTACAGAGGGCATCGCTCAATGGTTTCATTTAAATATGAAACAAGAAAGTCAAAAGTATCAAACAGAGACACCATGCAAAACAGGAGCTTTGGTTCAGATCCTTTCCCAGTTCTCCACACTGACTGAAACCAGCCATAGAGATTGGAAGAAAAGTACTGCAATATTTTGTCTCCTGTCCCCAGAAGAACACCATGATCAATGATACTGGAAGTTGCTGTGAGATCAAAAAAGAATTAAGACAGCCACGTGACTCCTTTCCTGATCCCACCAGGGGTAACCAACAAATGTGATCAGTGCTGTCTTCTATGATATCCTCTGGCCTGAAACCTTACTGAAGCACATTTAGAGTATCTGTTTCTTCCAGAGCTCTCTGGAGCTATGCTCAGACCTTTTTCTTCACAGCTTTAAAAAAAGAAAAGAAAAAGCAAACCCCAACCAGTTCAATTACAATTGTTCAGGATGGTTAAATCCAGCAGCTGCTTCTTGAGGAAGGGAATGCACCACTGCCTCTTTCAAGCCAGACAGAACCTCCTAGTCTCTGAGGATAAATTAGCACCATATAGATTCATCTACATATTACTCCCCCCCAGAGACTTTAATCAGCCAGGAGGGACATAGATCTAACAAACAAGTGGCTGGGATCAACAATCATAAGATTCTTGTCATGTTAATAAACAGGAGAGGTGAGATCACTGAATCCTAAGGCAGTCCACAATCAGGGGCCTTGGATCAGACCTTTCCAGAGCTATTAACATCAACTGGAACCAGCCCTGAAGAAAGGAAGAAAACCATGAACTCTTCCTGCACCATGTACAGCTTGGTCCTGGTTTTTCATCGTATTTCCCTACGACTCTCACCTCTTGGATAATAATATCTGCCCTATCTAATATCTGCCCTATCAGTTGTCCTGCCCAGTCTCTATCTTTTGACCTCTAAAGACCCCAGAAAATCTTTACCAACCTATCAATCTGCTTCAGACATCATTAATCACATTCACCTCCCCTGCTGCTTCTCAGTAGGTTCGGGGCAGCCAGGTTCTCACAAAGTTCTCACGCGCTTATCACCAGTCTACACAGGGCAACAGCGAGGATCAGGAATCCAACCAAGCTTTTGCCACTCCAGTTCTCACCATGACACCACAAGCCACCTGTTTGTTAGAGAGACCAGCCTGCTTCATCTGCAAGCCTTCATGTCACACAATTCATGTCCCATTCAGTTGTGCTACACTCTTTTGGGGTAGGCCCTCAAAACTGTTAATGCTGAGCTGAGACTCCACCTTTTGATCCCAGGTGGAAATGCACTGAACAAAGCCAAGATTGGATATAGCCCGTTCCACTTCCGCTAGAAAGCTGTCAAATCGTTTCTCCTACTCCTCCACAGGGCAACATCCCATTCTTCTTTGACTCACATCTGAAACCTGCACTCTTCCAACTAGGGTGCAATCTAGCACAGCAACTCAAAGTCCACCCAAGTGCTCCCAAAACAAAAATAGCAACAATAGCAAAAGCTAATACTTCTGCCCAACAGTCATCCAACTTTTTCCCAATCATCACAATGGGGGTGTGGGGGTGTGTGAATGTTATATATAAAAAGTATACCTGATATTGAGGTGGAAGCTGTCGTGGAAGTGGTGCTGGCTGCTGTAGCTGCTGTAGCTAATGGGGTGAACAGAAAGCGTTGAATGGTACCATTTGGCATAGCGGCTTGCATCAGTTGCTGACCTGGACCTGGGATTACCGTCACACCTTGTGGGATTAACTGCAACTGCCCAGTTGTTTGACCCTGACCCTGAATTACTACAGTTAATCCCTGACTGCCACCCTAAGAGGAAAACAAGACAAAAAATATAAAGCAAAAGTTATTCATGTCAGTAAAAGAGCCAACCGCTGCTTTATGTTCTGAACTGCAACCCCATAAAAGTTAATATGGACATTGCAATCGGCACTCTCTACGATGCAGATGTTTTCTAAAAGAAGAACATTTCCTACCAATTGTCATAACATTCACCCGTGAAAATGTAAAACCAAAAGGAGAAACTTTGATATGTGAATTTCTTTTAACACCTCACGACTTGCGTTTCAAGCACCCAAACACACTGAGGAAATGCACACAGTACGCAAAACGCAGAGAATTCAAACTAAAGAAGATGAAAAATATCTCTAAAATGATGATAAAATTTATAAGCACTTCTGTGGTTTCCCTTTATAGTATAATGTACCCCTTGAAAACAGCTATAGTCTTTTTTTCTGAATACAGAGCTCAGGGCAACAACAATTCCCCCAACCCCATTTTGCAGCTTCTGGAGAGTCTGAAACTGTGCTGCTGAAATTCAGTGGTATATCTCTAAAATGCAGAGTTCTCTCTACCTGAGGCACTCCCTGATAAAGGTATCTTTTGGGGTGTGCTTATTGTGATCTTTTACTCATTATAGGAGTCCCCTTCTCCCAAATCACGACTGCTTACCTGTCCTTGTGTGAGCTGCGTGAGCTGCGCCATGGTAAGCTTCACCTGTCCCTGTTGAGGCCGAGGAGGATGTGGAGGAGGGGCTTGTGGCTGCAGGCGTTGTGAAGGTATTCCTGCAGTTGACGACACCTTTTGGCTGCCAGAAACTGTAGTAGGACTAGACACAGCTGTTGACACAGGCTGACCTCTGATGATCTGAGTGACCACTTGTTGTGTTTGGCCTGCATTAAGATATCACAGGATTTTACAATTCTCTGGCTAGTCGCTCTTATTAAAGAATTAACCCACCCAATCATTTAAAAAACTGTATTTTTCTTCTTAAATAGTAAGATCCAGTAACCAGAAAAATCAACAGCACACTGTTTAACAGAATCAGTTTCTTCAAAGGGCTGAAAATAGTTTATATTGTCACATAGTTAATAATATTCTGAGGAATTATTTTTTTTAACATACTGAATGCAATTGTTTATAGGACAGAATGTACAGAAATGTTCAATTTATTCTGACTCTCCAAGAGGACTTAGGAATTGTGTATCTCAAACAGACCTTCCAGTGCTCCATGGCAAATGTTTTTGAAACAGTAGAGACTTTTAATAACCTTTTGTGATTGATGTTAACTATTCAAAAAAGAACAAAGATTGTACTACCATGAGTTCTTTGCCCGAGCCTAAGCATCAGTTTTGATCCCGTTTGATTCAAATGGGAAAAAGGAACTATGTATTATAAAATGCAACCGGACATTTAACTTATAGTACTGGTAAGAGTGACTGAATCTAAAGCTGTTAAGTGTTATCGATTATTTAAATACAAATCCTTCAATCTGGACATGTTTGAGTAAGTGGGAACGATACAGAAGAAAATTCAAAATAGAGGAACAAACCACAACCTGCGCACACTGGAAATTATTTTAAAAATATAACCTACTAGTTGGAATAACACCTTGCTGTACTACTACAGGTGTTCGGATGATGGTCTTTCCTAGAGCTGACTGCTGAAGAGGTGCTCTTATGACCGTCATTCCAGGCCGTAGAGGTGTCCCAGACATTACCTGTACAAGTTAAACAAACAAACAAACCGTTCAACTTTTTCTTATCCTGCAAAGGACAGCCGATATGCCAAAAGTAATTTATATATAGAGATTAAAAGTTGTCTAAGGATACAAAACAAAGCTATGAAAATAAAATACTCTCCACAGAAGCCACAAAAAAGCTTTTTAAAAATAAAACTGCATTTTTTCCTATTTAAACCTCCCTTTTTTTGTTCATACCCTAACCCCCCTTTTTTTGCATATAGCTTCATTCAACAGCAGCAGTAGCTGCAGCATCTCTCCCCAAAATGACAGCTGGTTTAAGATTTTAAAAAATGCAAATGACATATTCTCAGACATTTCATATCTGAGTAACGCAGTCTACCCCGGATACCCTGACAGAGTAATATCTGAATCATATGTCACCCAGAACTGCCGGTCAGTATTACCCTGATCAACTGAAGCAACCAAAAAGACAGGATTTCAATGTATTACAGTACTAATTAAAAGATGAAAACTGAAATCACCCCAAAGTGAAATCATCCCAAACTCAAATAGATCCTGTATTATCCCAATGGAAGAAAGAGTGAAACTTACTTGTGAAGCACTTGTTGTACAAACAGTCCCTGTATTATTTGGCCTAATAGTTACAGTTGCTGTCCTTGGCTGGAATGATGTAAATGTTTGCTGGTTTGCTCCAGTAGTTGATGGAATGATGCCCAACACTTTTTGCTGCACCTGAACGACGCCTATTGGGAGAGCAATGTATTTATTAATTTTAAAGCGCCTGCCAAGACACAAGATAACACCCATGTTGTTTAAAATGCTACTCTGATGGATTTTTTTTTAAAAAAGATTCCAACTGTTAAAAAATTCGTATTACAAATGACGAGGATTAGACTTGTGAATTAAACAACATTTTGGCTGAACAGGTCTATCCTGCATTCATAATGTGAAATATAGTGAATACAAACATTTAATACTTTTGGGGTTTTTTTTTGATGCCATCAACCAACTTATCCCTCTGGACAGGCTTTGGGGCTTGGGAGCAGGAGGCACTGTGTTACAGCCTCTGTGGCCAGTTCTAGCCTGTGTTTTAGGAGAGGCCGAGACCTAGTCCCCCGCAATGTGGGATGCCCCAGGGTTCTCACCTCTCTTTTTAAGTATCTACATTAAACCATTAAGGGAGGTCATCAATGCGGTGTGTGGTGTCATCAGTATTCTGATGATACCCAGTTATAGAACTTCCCCCAGCCGGGTAGGAAATGCTGCAAGGCAGGGGTGGGATTCAACCAGTGTTACTACCGTTTCAGCGAGAGTGTGTTTTGCGTGCGCACGTGCACTATTCGCACCTGAGGAGCAATTGGAAAAAAACATCAGCTGTACTGCCCAGACAGCTGACAAGTGCTGTGCGCAGCGTTTGAAAATACTCTTCTTTCCTGCTTTTTCAACCTCAGCTGCGCCGCGCAAAGCAGCTGAGGTTGAAAAAGCAGGAAATAAAGGACAGCCAAGAGCTCGGGCAGGCCGAAAAGATGACCAAAAGGTCATCACAGCAAACCAGTTCGGTATCTGCTGCTCTACAGAGCTACCAGTTCTTTAGAACTGGGCCAAACCGGTAGCATCCCACCCTTGCTGCAAGGGTCTGGATGAGGAGGAACCAGCTTTGACTCAAACCTAGCAAGACGGAATGACTTGAATGTTTGGCTATCTAGGCCTTTTAATCTCTGACTTTTAATCTCTGACTTTATATGAGGTGGCAAATGCCCCCACACCCCCAGACTGAGTTGGTATGCAATCTGTATCTCTTAGGTTCATGGCTCCTACTGGAGGATCAGATGGCAGCCATTTTTGGGAGTGAGGGGGAGGCATTTGCATCTGCTGTGCTGTGTCCTTTCCTGGCCTGGGAGCCCTTCCTCGCAGAAAGGTTGCTCATTGTAATGGACCATGGGAATGACCTTGGGGACGAAAGAAAAGTGTTGCCTAGGGAACAATCAAATAAGTGGGGGAGAGGAGCGCATAGTCACTTAACAGTCATAGAAAAAATACTCAGGAAGGACCTGACTTAATTGATCAGACATTTAAAAGTGGTGGCGGGAATTTTTGCTTGCAAGATTCTGTTAATGCAGCCTTCCAGTAAAGTAGATTTAACTCATCTAGTCATGTTCCCTGCCTGGTTTACCTGAAAGGGCTGACACTCGTGCCTCGGCCACTTCCTGCTTTGGATTACTGAAACACCCTCTATATGGAGCTGACCGCCCTTGAAGACCACACAACTAGTCTAGAATGCAGGGGCAGCACTATGATGGATGCCCCTAGGTTTATCTTTTGAACACTTCTGTTGCACAAACTGCACTGGCTTCCAGTTTCCTTCCAGGTGCAATTCAAGGTGCTGCTTATTATCTTTAAAGCTCTATGTGGCCCAGGGCCAAGTTACAACAAGTAACAGAATAACGGAGTCGGAAGGGACCTTGGAGGTCTTCTAACACTGTGGAGGTCTTCTCCAACACTGTGCTCAAGCGGGAGACCATACAGCATTCCAGGCAAGTGGCTGTCCAATCTCTTCTTAAAAGCCTCCAGTGATGGAGCACTCACAACTTCTGCAATTGCCTGCAGGGCCCCTCTTCCTAAGGGCAACTAGCCATCCTGCCAATTCAGGTAGTGTGGGCACCCTCCTAGTCTCTTCTCTTAAACATTGCCATCTTGTGGGATCAGGAAGTGTGCCTTTTCTAGGGCAGCCCCTGCCCTATGAATTGCCTTCCCCTTGAAGTTCAGCAGGCCTCTCTAACTGCTAGCTTTCCAAAAAGCACTAAGGACCCGGGGTCTTAACCCTAAGTGCTAGGACAGGGTGAGATGGATGAGAGGATTTAACGGAGGGACCATATTTTGGAAGTTCAGCTTTAGTACCAGGTTTTTAAAATTTATGGTATTAGAATTATGTGTATTGCGTTGTTTTATTATTGATGAAATTTTAATTGTGATGGGGAGGGACCCAGAGTTTAATATAAGACATGAATGTTACAAATAAATAAATAATAATAGACAATAGCTAAACTTGATTTCATTTAAGTTTAAAGATAATAAAAATTTAATATCGTGAATGTGATTATTTTACAGTAGTACATGTAATAACAAACACCTTGTCAAATTAAAAAATATATAACCTGGGCCTTTAGTCTGCTATTGGCTTTCTTTAATGTCTACCATTGATAAGCCGTATACCGACTTTGATTTTAAACACTGTTTCTCAATTCAGACTGTGAAAGACAACTGCATGGGAATTTATAGATGCCAATGTGAACAAATGCCAGTTAAAGAAATTAAAACAGATTATGAACAAATCCCAAGTAACCTTCTCTAAAGAAAGGTCATAGATAATTTACTAGGAAACCCCCAATTAAAAAAAAAAGAATTTAGTTTGTCATGACATTTTCCTACCTCCTTGAGTAGCTGGCACATTAACAGCAACTATTTTGCTATTTGCAGGAAGAGGCAGCTTTGTAATCACTTTGCCCGCCATGGTTACTGGACTGCTGGCAATCTGGAAAGTCTGACCACTGCTAGATATGGTAGTTGCTGATGTAGCAGCCGTGCTGGTGGCTAATAAACCAGAAATTGGGGCCAAAAACAAAACAAAAAAAATCCCAATGTATATGTGTAGATTTCTTTTGACAGTTAACTCACTTCAATAAATCAATCAATAGCAATGTTTCTATTTCACTCTTCTGCCCAGATGACATCATTATGTAAGTGCAGCTGCATTCACTTGGATTTTTAAATACACAGCCTTCACCAAAGAAAGGCTAAACAATCTTTTCTTAATTAGAGTTGGAGGGCAAGACTAAGGTTTATAAAATTATGGATGGATGTGGTAATGCATAAAAACATTTTCAACATTTATTACAACATTTAAATTAATTTAAATACAAATTCGTTGGAGTGTGGGAGTCGTTGGAACAAGCTCCTTGCTCTAAAATTTTGTGGCAAAACTGATATATAAACTAACAGCTGGTTTAAGCTTACGAAGGCAAAAGAAGACAGCTTTCTCTCAAATAATTTTCTCCACAAATGGGGAAGGGTCAGCCTATATTTTTTCCAGAATTCAATGACAGAGGAAGATATAATTGAAAGCAGGCAACTGTGCAGGAGGAGAAAATAACTGAACTGGTAACAGCCACTTTGGTGTAGTGGTTAAGGTTCTGGCCTAGAAACCAGAAGACTGTGAGTTCTAGTCCCAGCTTAGCCATGAAAGCTGGCTACATGACTTGAGGCCAGTCACTCTCTCTCAGCCGAACCCATCTAACCGGGTGGTTATTCTGGGGAATATAGGAGGAGGAGGAAGGAGTATTAGCTATTGTCTATCAGCCTGAGTTATTTATAAATAAGGCAGGCAGGCAGGAAGGTAAAGCATGAGAAAAGGTGGAAGCCTTACTTCAAGAGGGAATGAGACAAGCACATCATCCCTACCCTCCTTTTGTTCTCTGCCACATGCAAAGGATGAGTCTTCAAGGCGGGGCATCTCTATCCTTTCTATCCCTACAGAATCTCCCTTACAGACTTTCACCCTCAACATAGGTCGGAAGGAGGACAGAATGCGATGCCCGATGACTTGTAACAGGAGCCACTGAAGTCAGTGGGGCTTACACCACAGAATCAGCACACATAGCCATTCCTTGTGGTTTGCTAGCTAGCACAAAGAATATATTTCCTTGTTGCAAAAGGGGGGGGGGGATCCTCAATATCCCAAGGATTTGTTTCCATGCTTTATATCCCAATTTAATGGAAGAAACTAGGCTGAACACACACACACACACAAATATACTATATATACCCTCAGCGTCCCTAGCGTGAACTAAAACCATTGCACAGATAATGTTCAGTTGCATGTTTGCTGAGCTCAGAATTCTACTAAGAATTTCCTTCCTTTTAAGAATGTGTACAGGTAGACCTCAACTTACAACCACTCATTTAGTGACCAAAGTTACAACCGCACTGAAAAAAGTGACTTATGACTGTTTTTCACACTTATGACTGTAGCAGTAGGCCTGCATGACCATGTGAATTCAGGCACTGGGCAACTGACTTGCATTTATGACAATGCCACTGTCCCAGAATCATGTAATCCTCCCAGTTGGCTTCTGACCAGAAAAGTCAGGAGGGGAAGCCAGATTCACTTAATGACCACATGACTGACTTAACAAGTGAGTCTCAGCTTCATCCAACAAAGGCAATTTTTAATCTCTTGGAAGTAGTTTACAAATATATCATGCTGACAAAACGCACTGCCATCATACACAATTGCGGAATCTGTCTTCGGAAGAACACTCTAATTAGGCTTAATAATTCCAGGATGCAGCCTCCACCAGTCATACAATTGTCTTCAGGATAGTTAGCATGATGGTTCTGCTTTTCAGCTGACATCTCCAGGTGAAACTGTGTGTAAGGAACTTTCTGAGCTGCACTGTTCAAGTAATGGCAATGCCAGGTTATGCAAACAGCAGCTCCGTAAAACTGTCTCTTAGCTGTAGCCCCCTTGGCAGCTCCCCATAATTCCAAAGACCATAGCTGGCACCCCTGGTATAAGCAAGCTCCAATATTGTAAATAAAAGCTTGTTACTACAGATCCCAGTTAAGATAACCCACGGAGAGTATATTTCAACTAAGTCCTTTACCTGTTGAAGGCTGGCCTTGTTTAACCCAGGTAGCAAAAGTCTGGTGGAAATTCTTGTTCTGCTGGAATGTTACTGTAGCTGGAGATCCCATTTTGGTGGCCAGCACTACTTTGGCTCCACTGGGCATGGAGCGTGGTAATGGGCCTACTACAACTTTCTGAGGAGTGGAGACTGTGGTCACAGTACTGCTGGTTGTAGTAGCTGTAGCAGCTCCACACACGACAGGCACCTGCTTCTGTTGTTCCAGTCGCTTCTAAGAAAGTTAAACATCATACTATCACAAAGAACAGCTGCCATTCCTCCATACCACTGCATCATCATTCTTATCCCAAAATACAAAGGTGGACAACATTTGTAATTAAAAGCTATACAGGGAAGAGGGACAAAAAAGCAAGGTCATATCACTCATATGGGCAAAATGTAGTGGGTTTTGTTTTTTTGGAGGGGAGGGGATGCATTTTTCTATTTTGGCGATCATACCAGACATGTTCCCAAGAATAAGAAAAGGTAGATTTGAGTTCTTATGTAGACCAGGCAAGTTAAGGCTGAATTTCATTTATATTTTTGGAACCAAGCACTAATATCAACATTGTTAACTCTCAAGACTCTTTTTTCTGCTATGTTTTCAAAATGGACTGTGATTAATGTATTAATATATGCATGCATGCGTGTATGTGTGTGTGTATAGATAGTGTGTGTGTGTGTGTGTGTGTGTGTGTGTGTGTGTATTTATATTCTTTCCAGAGTAAGCATCAGAATTTTATTTTTTAATGTGTGCCAGTATGTTCATAAAAAAAAGTGACAATAAAGGTTATCTTACAAATACAACTGGATATCTATGTAAATATGCAAATACAACTGGGTAAATGTGCAAAAGATAAGCTCACTCACATAATCCTTCAAGTCATTCCACTAATTTGAGATAAAATTTTATAAAGAAAAGGCCAGCTATAATGGACAGTTAGCCATTACAAAGTTTCACACGACATTAAAATACAGAAGCTGTTATCCACTGAAGTCCTGACCATACGAAACCTGCTATATTGTAATATAGCAGCTAAGAAATTGACCTACAAAGAATATTCCTAGAGCTCCTTCTTAGATTGGTAGCATTTCTGTAACTTGGCACTTTGAAACTCAATTTTTTGTAGCAACGCTGAAGAGTGCTTTAGGATGGCATTCATGAAAAGCAGTAAATATTAATTAATTCTCACCCTCCTGAGATCATAGATACCTAGTTGCGGTTTTTGTCAAAGGATCCCAAACCTTTAAAGCAAATTTTCAGCAGCAGTCAAGAGTTGTTCAAGTTGGGAGTCCCTGGCCAGTATTTGAGAAGCTCCTCATACAATTCCTGTTTCTCTTCCTCTTATATCCAATTCCCCATTCACCAGTTGTAAGAAAAAGCACTGGCACCAAATTTTTGGAAGCTTTCTAAGAAAGAATGTGTGAGGAAAGAGAAGCCCTCAAGTGGCTTTTGAGATTCTATATCTGGGATCCTCTTTTTCACTGACTGGCAGTATCCAGCTCAGATGGCACCTTTTACTGGAGAGAATTCCTCCACAGAATATCCAATTCACCAGATTCCACAACATGGCAGCTCTGGCTCCAACCCATTGTAATATGCAATGCTTGGAACACTCTGTGAAGTCTTTTATTATGATGGCGAAAGTAAAATATTTAACTACTCAATCAGGAGTGGTTTTTTTAAGAATCAATGTCAGACTCTTTAAAAAAAAATCCTCTTATTTGATACATTTTTAAGAAAACTGGGCCTGCAGTTATTATTATGTAAGATTTTAATTGGGCAATATTATTTTATGAAATACTACAGGCACTTTGGATAAAGCAGCAATTCTAGATAATTGAGATGAAAGAACTTTATCTTGAACAACTGTTTGTAAGCCGCCTAGAGTCGCTATGAGTAAGTAGCTATATAAATTTTGTAAAATAAACAAAATGAACATATGGATCCAGAAGTTAACACAATCCTCTGTGCTATTAATCTAGTGGATTGGACCCTTTCACTACCAGGCTGGAGAAAACTGCCACAGAGATTAAAGAAGGGAGAATTTAGTCAATGGTGAACACCTCCATGAGGGAAAGGCATTCCCTTCTCAGTAGAAAAAACATGGTACGCTCCCTCTTAAAGAAGCCATCACTTGATCCTTGGAGAACATTTCTGAGAATATGCAGACAGCTGCAGAGACCTCTGAAACAAAATGGGTCCTCTGAATCTCTTTCAGACAAGATTCAGGCCCGGATATGGAGCAGAAATAGCAAAGCTCGTCCCAGTCTGTATGGGATGAAGTTGCATCAATAAACAGACAAATAGACCTGATCCCAACTAGACAAGAGAAACAGCAAAGCTCGTGACCTGGTGTCTACGTAGATATGGATAGGAAAAAACTGTTTCAGACTCCACCCTAGCAAAATGTAGTGGCTGTGTATTAGGAAGCTAACAATACAGAAACTAGTTCTCAATGGAGGTTGTGCAACCCCAGACAGAGCTAACTTGCAGCCTGAGGGGTTTTTGGGATCCTCCCAGACTCCCAGTAGTAGATAATATCCAGGATTTTTGCATAATTGTATTTGATGCATCAACTGTGGAGGCATAGTGCCTATTGAATTAGGAGGCATAGTGCCTATTCAATCCTGCCCTTGTCATCATCTACCTAGATTACAGCAATGATTTCTAGATAGGCTGTCCACCCAGAATGAGCTAGAAGAAGAGGATCTCTTCTCCAAGGGAATGCCAGCTACAGGGATTCTTAAATATTTCAGCTTTTTCAGTGATGCCCCCCTCCTCCCCTTGCTTGGAGTAGCTTGCTCCTGATACCAGAACAACCTACTTTGTTGGATTTCTGAAGAGATTTGAAAACGTAGCTTCTCAGGAAACCATCTGGGGATAATGAGGACATCTTTTTCTTGGCTGGTGCACTCAGGAGGAAATTTATTGTTTGAGGCAACAGCTGGCACAAATATGAAAATTTTATCTTCCTTACTTTTATATTAGTTTAATCTAATACGCCAATAATTGATCAAGCTGACTTATTGATTTTATTATTTAGATTGTTATGATTTGTTTTCATGTAGTTGCTTGATGTATGCTACTGAGAATTAAGTGACATACAAGTTGTAGGAAGATTATGAATCAATTTTGTAAATAAATATATATTTCTGTTTGTATATGCATGCAAGGATACCTATATTACTGAGTAGTTTCTGATACCTGAAATATTAATAAGAACCGATAGTTCTTACTTGTGTTGCTATACTGTAATATTTAATTAAAAGTTGGTATGAAACAACATGTCTGCTAGAGAAGTAAGGACTGAACACTTTCCTAGAGTGTTTAAAAGAACCGTTTTTAATGTCCTTGTCAATAAAGCAGATGAAAAGAAGGTGTTCTAATTAATCTTTTTTAACTCCCATTTTGCTTTTCCTATTATTGCTTGTTTTGTTCATGAGTGCCAAATCCAGCAAGATGTGCTCTGTTTCATTTTATATTAATACATAACCTGACTTGGGTGAGCATTTCACTTGGAAAAGCGAAATGGACATAACATAAAGAACCAATAACAATTAAGAGAAAAAGCAACTGTTAAAAAGAAATTTAGGAAAATGACAGTTAAGTACCAGATGTCAGCCTTGGGTGCATGTCTCATTCACAGCAGATGCATTCTGTATCAAAGATTATATAAATATATCTAAGAACCCCATTTCCATTCCAACATGGAAGTGTTTCTGATTGCATACTTGGTAGAATGCCAAAAGTTACATTCACCAGACCCTGCCAAATTAGATAGTCTGTCAACATCTACATTAATAGCTTTGCAACAGAAATTTGGAGAGGCATACAACCCTGCAGAAAAGCCTCCACACGAAGTGTAATGTAAGCAAGTACAACAAATGTCAAAAATCTGAAGTACCAATTTAGATTCCCACTAGTGAGTTTCATATATTGTTACTCATAAGAAAATGTTCAAGGAAGACACACTTCCATGCTAATTTGCTAATTGTACATAAATGCAAACTTTTAACAGGTGGGACTTCTAAAAGGCTACCCCACCTGTTGGGCAGCCAATCGTTGCTGTTTGAGTTGAGCCTCCATTTGAGCCTTGAACTCCTCTGCCTTCTTCTGTTCACTAACCTTAGCCTGTTGTTCAACTGCCTGCGCCTTTTCCTTCTCCACCCTGAAAAAGAGAAGTATAGAAAATACCGAGCATTATCAAGGAATTACAATTTTTATACCAAGAGAACTAATTTCCAAGCTATTAGTACAGTGCATCTTAAGTTCCTGAAATTTTCAAATGTCAACATGATCTAACCTTATAAATTATTCTTCCTTTTGAAATATTTTATGAATGCCCTTAAATCTGATTCCCTGCAAGTCTAGAGGAAACTTGGATCTAATGAAAATTTCCTGCTGGGAGGAAAAAAAGGAATGTCTCATTACATTTTCCCTATGTAGCCCCCAGTTGCTCTTCCTACGCCATTCCCATAACAAGAGAATTGGAGAATTCCATTCATATCCTTTAGAACCAACTGTTGACCACCTCTGAATTTAATTTAAGACAATGCTTGCAATATCTGATTTGCCTGCAGCATTGGTCGAACTATTTTAATGTCCAGGTGAAACAGTTACCTAAATGAAACAATGGATAATTTATCTTTAGTAAGTGAAGTAGGGGCTTAAAGCTCAAAAACTTAAAAAAAAGATCTTAAAAAGCTTGGAAGAAAGGTGCCCAAACTGAGACAAGGGAAGGCAACCCAATGCATCAATTCTGATTACCACCAGATAATACTGTTATCATGGTAGGACTTATGGAACTCAATGTACAACAAATATGGAAGGACTTTATTGCCTTGTGTTAAAATAAGCCTGGCAATTCCTAAAAGAAGCACAATGAAGTCAAAGAGAGTCATAGGATATAAAGCTACAGAATGGTATCAATACTTATTTATTGAATTTATATGCTGCCCATTCGATTAATAAGGCAATTTTTTCTTATGATGAGATAAGTGGAAAGAGTGGGAATACTGAAATTTGGCAAGTTTCCACTTTTCAAAATTTGATTTTCCTGAGTATAAACATGTTAAAAACAAGGAGACCTGGAAAAACTAAACAAGATTTTGGACCCAAGTAGAATTACCACAAAACCGGGGAAAGAAAGGATATACAAAAAAAATTCCAACACATAATTTGGTAGGTTATAACTAGGCAAAAGAATGACTAGAAATGAAGAAACAGGAAAGCAAAGTGACCGTACAGTTTTTTTTAACTGGAATCAGTTTAACAGCCTCAACAGCTAATATTTTTTTTGCATTACATTCATCGAAATAAAGAAACAATGGTTATCAAGAAGGGGATTTTTTCCTGAGGGACATGGTGGCTCAGTGGCTAAGACACTGAGCTTGTCGATCAGCAGTTCGAATCCTTAGCTCTGCGTAATGGAGTATGCTCCTGTTACTTGTCCCAGCTTCTGCCAACCTAGCAGTTCGAAAGCATGTAAAAATGCAAGTAGAAAAATAGAGACCACTTTGGTGGGAAGGTAACAGTGTTCCATGTGCGCCTTCGGCGTTTAGTCATGCCAGCCGCATGACCACGGAGACATCTTCAGACAGCGCTGGATCTTTGGCTTTGTAACAGAGATGAGCACCGCCCCTTAGAGCTAAAGATTTTTTCTTGTTCATATTCTGTGATTTTTCTGAGGTTTCAGTTTGTTTGTTAAGCCAACTGGCATAACTCAAATGCATTCAAATATTTACCTTGGTATAGCTAGAACAGGTTTCAGTTGTCACCTTACCTTTCAGAAAATGCTTTTATCTCCCATAATTCCAACTCCTCCTCTGCCACCCAGGTTTCAATGATGACTGGTCCTGTTTGCTTTGGTGTTTCTGGCCTTTTAGGCCTCAAAGCACTCGATCTAAGACCCTTCCTCTGAGGGGTTGGTGTTTCTGACAAAAAAGTGACATCAATCAATTAAATATCAGCATGAGCATAGATCATTTTAGCCTATCTAGATTATCTGTGTATTTTATTCACATGTTTACCTTTGGGGGCCTCTGGAACACCAATAGGACAAATAATTTTCCGTATGCAGTACTCTGATCGAATCCCATATGGTCCAACATCTCTCCGTTTGATTATTTCAGTTGTTGTAATTTCCATTTCTGAGGTTTCTAGAAATATATTTGAACATTCATTCACCCATGTAAAAAGACATTACCACAAATGTTAGCTGAAATTCTGGAGTTTCGGTTTAAAAACTGCACATATTGTTTGTTTTAGCATATGGGCAGAACCCCACCAACCCTCCCCTCTCCTGGTACTTCACATTCAACCTCCATTATTGATTAATAAAAGTTTTAATCAATTGTGCAGTATGTCAGGATACTCTTTAAAATTTTGTAACTTCAAGTTTAAGCTACTGATTAGGTGAAACTCGTAATGAAGCTAAAATGAAGTACAGAAATGTGACTAATATTACTGGATTTTGCGTGTAGTCCTCAACTTACAATCATTCATTTAGTGACCATTCAAAGTTGCAACAGCACTGAAAACAGTGATTTCTGACTGTTTTTCACACTTGTGACTGTTACAGCACCCCCATTATCACATGATCAAAATTTGGGCCCTTGGCAATGGCATATATTTATGACAGTTATATTGTCCTGGGGACATGTTATCACCATTTGTAAACTTCCCAGCAGGCTTCAAACAAGCAAAGTCAATAGGGGGAACCAGATTCACTTAACAACCAAATTATTCCCTTAATAATTACAGTGATTCACTTAACTGTGGCAAAAAAAGATCATAAAATGAGACATAAATCACTTCACAATTGCCTTAGCAACAGAAATTTTGGCTCAATTGTGGTTGTAAGTCTTATATTTATTTGATGAAAATAGCTGCCTGTTTTGAACATAAGATCTTTAAGATAATATGCAGAATAGCCATAATTTAAACTATAGTTAATAATAAAGAGTAACAGAATAGAAGCAATTTCTAACTGCAAAACATTAAAATGAATGAGAAACATAAATATCTTTTCTACCAGCCAGAAAATGAGTAACTCATTGACTAATTCAGAACTCTGCCTTCTATAGCCCTTGAACCAACTTCAAAAACCCTTTGTAAAGCAAATAGTTGAGATCTGTGTCAGAAGAAATCTATAATAGCCTGCTGCATTTGGAGGCAAGAGAATATCTGCACACACATAGGGAAAAAAGGGAAATGCCTTTTAATATTGTCATGCCCAAACGAATTCTGGTCTGGAAAAGTTCAGTGACAATGATCAAGACTCAATCCCAAACTCTGTGATATTCTCCCTCAATATCTTCTTGCAAATATTCAGCAGTTGCAGGATTATCAATTAAATGACTAATATATTAAAAATGAATCCACATTAAGCAGTATTCTCTTACAAGCAGTCTATATATGTGGAGGCTTACAATTAATTAATTAATTAAATCTTTATGCCACCCTTCTCCTCTACAAGGTGACTCTTGGGTAGCTTACAAGTTATAAAACAAGCAAAAAATAATAATTAAAATATTATAACATTAAAAACTACACAGAATAAAATGTTAAAAACTACTAAAACCAAAACTAAGAGATTTAACTGGTTTTGCACTGTTTTTTACACTGTCTTCTCTTAAAAAGTTATTCTGAGGATCGATTTTTAAACTGACATTATCTTATGTATTCTGAAACTCTGAAAATGGACAAAGATGCTTATGATATTTCTGATTGTAACAAAGCGTTGCCCTTCAGTACCAGGATCCTGGCCAACCACATACCCTGGGCCCCAGGCTTAGCCACAAAACCAGGTCTTTAGGGCCTTACAAAAAACCAATAAGGACAGAGCATGTCTAATCTCCAGGGAATTATGTTATGCTGAAATCCCAATATTGATGGAATACTGAAGGAGTGAAAGACTTAGTAAAAAATGAGCCTGACCAGCTAAAAGTCAAGTCACAGGTTATATTTATATTCAGATAAAGTCCTAATAAGCAATGCTTTATGGAAATGAGTATCAAAAGCTTGGCTCTTCTTCCCTCCTCTTTGCCCAGCAACAAAGACAGTTAAACCAGCATTATTATAATATTCCAACAAGTAAGAGGCAAACCAGCAATGCAAACCACTTCAGTTTTAATTTATAGGAAGTATTTGAACCAGTTCCCCCAATGTAGATATCACAGAAAACCCATGGTTAAATGCACTGTGTTGTCTTTTATGCATGAGTTTGGTTTCTAATACCAGGGAATGGTTTCCCCTGAAACCAGTGTCAGCATGCTTTGAGTTTTATGTTCAACAGAATCCAGGTATGATCTAGGAAGATAAGAGTGCGCCACTGGTTGGCATTTCTGGGTATCTTCTTTTCAATAAATATCTTCCTACTTAAACAACAACATCCAAAATCCTTGCTATATCAATTCTTTTTTGAGTCTGTGTTTAGTAGTGTGACCAAAGTTTCCTGTTAAATCATGGACTGGAATTAGTTTCAGTTTCATTTATATTCATCCAAGTATGACATATTGGGCGGGAAGAGAAAGCGTAATATAAATAAACCCAAAACAGAATTTCACAATAATAATAATAGATTTCAGAGTTCTAGTTCCCATAATATATTACGCATTTTGAAAAACTGTTTAATTATTCAGATTTTTTAAAGTCAACTCTACCTGTCCGTGTAGTTCCTCCTCCTGGTGGAGGTTTGGCAGCCATGTCATCCCACTTTAGGCATGCCCAGAGTAACCTCAACATGAGGCTTACCCCTGCCAAAGATTTTACAGTCTGAAGTCGGTACCTGGAAAAAACCCCAAAAGAAATTCATTGGCTGGCCATCTTCAATATCCTAAAAGGAACAGCCATTGATCTTCTGAGATAAAATTAATGTTTTTCTTTCGATCATAGTTAAAAATGGAGTGTACTTTCACATATAGAAGCATACATAGTATAAGCAGCGGTTACAGATAGTCCTTGACTTACAACCATTGTTTAGTGACCATTTGAAGTTACAACCACACTGAAAAATATGTGACCCAGTGGTGGGATTAATTTTTTTTTACTACCGGTTCTGTGGGTGCGGCTTGGTGGGTGTGGCAGGGGAAGGATACTGTAAAATCTCCAGTCAGAGGTAGAATTTGCTGGTTCTCTGAACTACTCCAAATTTCCGCTATCGGTTCTCCAGAACTGGTCAGAACCTGCTGAATGCCATCTCTGATGCGACCATTTTTCGCATGACCATTGCAGCATCCCATGGTCACGTGATCAAAATCTGGATGCTAAACGACTAGCTCATATTTGTAATAGCTGCAATTTCTCAGAGTCATGTGACCACTTTTAGTGCCCTTTGACAAGCAAAGTCAATGGGGAAGCCAGATCCGCTTTACAACCATGTTACTTACTTAGCAACTACAACAATTCACTTAACAATGGTGGCAAGAAAGGTTGCAAAATGGGGTGAAACTCACTTAGCTCTCTCACTTAGCAACATAAATTTTGGGCTGAATTGTTGTAAGTCGAGGACTACCTCTATATAGATCTATGCTATCATATGTTGAATTCTGCTCATTTAAATGCCAAGTTACAGAATATTTCTAGAATAGTGGATCAACTAATTATAGTTTTAGTCTCAAGTATTTACTGAAACCAAATTAATATGGTATTAGATGTTTTTTTCATGGCTTTGATAAGTTGACCAAAAAAGGTAAAAAACATTATGAAAAAACATTATTTTGCAATGGCAATTCGAAAATTATTTTTTATGATTTAAAATTTCTAGTATTGGAATGCTCAAAATAATACTAGTGACACGTATTAGAACATGAACTGTGATTATTTTGAAAGCTCTCAAGCTTTTAGTTGCTGTTAAAATGACGTTTATCAAGCAAAACCCTGTTTAATAACATAAAGCCAACTTACTATGCCGTGCATTTGTCTAGCCATGACAATTCTGTAGCCCTCCCTTGCCTCATTCCACATACCCCAGCCACAGGACTAATCATGAAAGGAATAAGAATAATTCTGTACCATAGCTCAGAACTGGAAACCAGAGTTTTTCACCCATCCTTTTGGATAATCTTAAAATAATAAATTTTTGCAGTGTTTAATTTTTTAGGTTGCATTCATTTTAAGAGGCTCAAGTTAAAAGGAATGGTATTCCAGAATATTTCCACTCTCTAGCTTGTTGTTTCAGTGGGTACTTTTCAGTGTATTTAATCTTTACAGTGCATACCCTCTGCAAACTTTCTTCTTTCGTCATCACTCCACATATCATATGCAGAAAATTGCCAAATTTGCATTAGGTACAAGATTCCCTACCCCAATATTGTTCCATATTCCTGACTGAGAAGCAGCTAGTAAATCTTTTTTTCTAAATACACATGCAAGGAATATTATTCTCCTGTTAAAAACAGGTCCAGTATCTTAGGGACAAAATCATAAACAATTAAGATTTTTTAAGTGATGACAATTAAAGTACTGGATAATAATATATTCACAACACGTGCACAACAAAATCTTCTCCCACTCAGTGTTGTTATTATTTTTTAACATTGTTATAACAGTGTACCTCCAAGTGATACCAAAAGTTGGCCTTGGGGATGGATAAGGCCAGATGTCCAAAGCAGGCTTAGCAGTATAGTTGAAACAAGGAACTTCTCTAATCCCTCCTTTTCTTGCCAGCTTCTTCAAGTCATCGCTGGGTAAAACAAATATGCTCTTTTTGCTGCTTTTAGTAACAAACTTTCTATAAGAAGGCAATGCTGTCCCAGAACGAGTTTTTTTAGGTCTTGAAAATTTCATTAGTTTCACTTTGTCCCTTGTGGAATATTCCTTGCTGACTGTCATAGAAGTCACCAATGTTCCACTTGGGGTTGTCAAGGAATCAGTCACTGTCGTCGTAACCACGGTTTTACTATGCTCTTTTACAGAAATAACATCGGTACTACTGTCGGTGGTGGGAGTGGTAAGCTTTGTTACAGTGGTGGTGGTGGTGGTTGTTACGGTGGATATGGAACAATTTTCAGTTAATGACACCATACGTTCTTTATCCTCCTTGACTGCTGAAAGCTCTGACACTTTATAAACAGTTTTTGATTCTGTAGAAATGGTAGACGTAGTGGTCACTTCGGTCACAGCGGCTTTCACTGCATTCTCTCCATTGATGTTTTTAACTCTGTGTGGCTGCAGTCCATTCTGATCAGCAAAGTCGTTACTCAAACTAGATTCTTCACATGAAATTACAGGCGAGAGAGCAGCCTTCTTAATACACGATGACTCAATCTCCATACCTTCTGTTTCACTACTTCTACTGTTCTCGTTACAGGAATGGACAGCTGTGAGGGATGCATCATCAACTGGACTAGATCTTTCAGAAGAACACTGCTTCCTTCCACTGTCTTGAGCAGACCGAGATGTATCCTCCTGAGGTAAAACACCACCTCCAGGATCACAGTTGGGAGCCACAGAACTCTGTACAGAAAACTCATTGTCTGAATTTTTTCTCTCATTCACATCTTCCACAGCAATATCTCCATTCATAAATGGTTTTACAGATTCATTAGAAGGAAATGATTTACCTAGCAGATTGTTTTTATTAATACTATTTACTTTAGAGTCAAGGTTACTCTCAGCTTCTCTTTTTAAGCATTCTTCATTTGGTAATACTTTAAAATCAGCATCTTTTCCATTCATCTGATATGTTGCCGACTTTCCTCCGTCCATCTGGACATCGTGTTCTCCATTTTTATTGTTGTTGTTATCAGCAATGCTTTTAATCTGATCGATGCATTTGCTTATGGAAGTTGGAGGATCACACTTTGCCTGCTCTAGCTTTTCGCCATTTGTTTCAGCAATTTTACAGTGTGTAATTTCATCAATAATTTTTTCTCCTATCATGTCAGGAATCTGGGCTTCAAATGCCTTCTCTGAAATAAGCTCAGTACGTAATGATTCTAGGCCTTCAACGGCTTGCTTGCGATTTAATGCAATCTTTGGTTCAGATGCATCTTCATTGCTTTTCGGTAGACTTGCGTTTGTGCTATTTGCTGCATGATCATCCTCTAAATTACAAGCTTCTACAGAATCACAGCCCTGTTTTTCAGTTTTTAAGGTTTCATTTCCTTTTTTAATGAAAGATACAGTCTCTTTTTCGCAGTTCTGTTCAATTCCCTCTGGCTGCATATTATGTTCACAATTAGGCCCTGTGATTTCCTCTGAACTTTTTTCATTGTCCTCTAACACACTGCATTTAGTTGATTCTTTATTGTCTATTGCTTGAGAATGTTCCATGGTTGAATTATCACCCTCCTTACTCAGCACTTTATGTTTTTCCGTATTCACTGGTTCAGAAGCACTTCCATGAGCATTTGCTGCTATCAAACATTGAGAATCTGAGCACAGATCTGAAATGAGGCCTGATTCTTCATCTAAAAGTCTATTCAAGCAAGACAAGGATTGGATTGATTCACTGGTTTTATTCAAGTGGAGGTTGTTAGGTGACAAACAGTCTTTAACAGGATCTTCAGATTGCTTTGTACCTGAAATATGGGCTCTTTTTTCATCTGTTACTGCCTTAGCTAATGATAAGTCATCTGTATTCCTTTGTGGACTCAGAGATTTACAATCTGAGGAAGTGGAAGCAGCTTTAAGCTTAATTCTTTCCAATCGCTGCTTTTCCTCTAGGGTAAACTGTTTTACTCTTCTTTCAAGTAGTCCATCTAATTTTGATGTTTTCACTTTCCTTTTATAACATGTCCTTAAGTGAAAACCTTCACTAACGTTTATTAAATCTGCACTGATTGGAGTTTCTTCACATTTGGGGGAAGTATCCATTTTCACTTCATCTACTTCCATAGGTTCTTCCTTGATGTCTTTATCATTTTCACAGATTCCTTTTTCATCTATAAAAAATGTTTAATCAGTAGGACACTTTATTAGTTAACACATATATTGACAACCCAAGTTAGAGCTACCCAACCAGGGCAGCATCCAATTATATAACTGACTCCTATCATTATATACAGCAGGAGCGGGGAATGATGGCCTCTTTATGACCTATGGTTGACCCAGGAATTCTGGGAGTCAAAGTCCACGGGTTGTAAAGGGGCCATTGTTCCCCATCTCTGATGTACAGCATCAACAATAGCAGCACTTAAGACTTAATACCGCTTCATAGTGCTTTTACAGCCCTCCCTAAGCTATTTACAAAGTCAGCATATTGTCCCGCAACAATCTAGGTCCTCATTTTAGCCACCTCAGAAGGATGGAAGGCTGAGTCAACCTTGAGCCTGGTGAGATTTGAACTGCTTAACTGTAGGCAGCCAGCAGAAGTACCCTGCAGTACTGCATTCTAACCACTGTATCACCAAAGCTCATAGCTGAATTAGGTAGAGAATCCTGGAAATCCAAAATCCTCCATTTGGAATGAATTCAGACTGAGGAAGGCTAATCTAAATTGGCTCATTACATATTCTTTTGCAACAATATATGCAGGCATATGGAATTAATAAAGCACTCTGTTTCTACCATGAATAATTATTTTATCTAGACTGTCTTCAAATAAACGTTGTACACATAAACATTTTGCTCAACCATGAAAGGTTAGATGTTTATTAAAATGGATAAAAGCACTTATTACCTTCCTTAGCTTGATCTGATTTTTCAAAATGTCGTTCAATTTCAGTTTTTTCTTCATTTAGTTCATTTTCTTCCTTGGTTTGACTTTTCTTCATGGTCTCAGAATATTCAATTTCTTTTTGGTCCTTTTTATGTGGTTCATGGAAGCTCTTTATTCTATCTTTCAAAGAACAATGCTCTACTTTTACTTTTGCTGGATTTTTCCTTTTATCCAATTCGTGCTGTTGTTCTGTAATAGCAGCAGTGTTGTTCTTTGCTGATAAAGAAATACGCAGATACTCATATGATTTTGGTCTCTTTGTCAGTATAAGCCTCTCAGAGAAGCATATACTTTCAAAAGGCTTACTCCAAGCCTAGTACTATATTCAGAAACAGGACTACTGCAATTATAGTAGAGCACTTTATTTCCTCCCGCCACCCCAAATGCATTTTATTTTCTATAGAAATGCTACTAACCATGAAATCATACAGGATCTGACCATAAGATCTAATCAGATCTTAACAGAGGAAATTGACTAAACCTGACCACCAAAAGTATTAAAAGCTATTACCACATAATAAAAACAGATAGTTATTTCTGTATCAATAATAACTAGAGAATGACATTGTTGTAACAAGCTTAACCATTTTGTTTGCAAAGAGATTCTGACCTTGTAGAGCCTCTCACTAGGAAAAAACAGGTGATTTTGTCCCTTCTCTTTCTGCTGCAGTGCTTTCCTATCATATAAAAGGCCCCCTAACCTTCCAGAAAAGATTTTCTGATCACATCAGAAAGGGGGGAAATCAATAAAAATGATTTTCATCTATGGAAACATTCTATTTGTTAGAGTCTGCTCTATATAGCTTTGAATCTATTACATTGGGGTTTGAGGATATAACACACAATTTTTTTCTTTAATTACAAAATTTAATATAGTTAAATGGACTAGATGTAGAAATTTTATATGAAACAAATTACAGTAGTTTGCTTCTTCCATTATTTAGAAAATTAAAACACATGTGAATAATTAGCAACTTTTTAAAGCAACACCATAATTAACTGATAGAAACAGAGTATTTTACAGATGTATATTTTTCTCCTAAAATGCTTGCTGTAACTAGAAAGAAATTAAAATAATATTACAATATTTATTGAAAATATATTGTGAAAAATGGTGTTTGGTGTTTTAAACTTGACTTCATATTTCAAAATCATAGCTCTAAGACACCCAGAGTCTATTGGACTGGTCAGTTATAATAACATTTAATGAAATAATAAAAATGATAATGAAGATTTCCAGCACTTACCAAGTAGTAACTTTCTATAACTGACATTAGTATTTCCAGGTAATCTGGGTACAAATCTATGAACATGTGTTTTACTAATCCATATCCATCCACCATATCCCGTTACTCTATATTCTTCTCCTTTTTGTTTCCAGACCTATGAAAAAGTTGAAATACATTTTGTTAATTTTTTCTGAATTTGCATCCTTACAACACATAAAATATGGCTTTGAAATAGTTTCAATATTCTTTTTCTTTTTTTGTCTTAGGTGTTAATGCTTTATTCACCCAAGTTCTAAACAATCTTTTGCTTGGCAACTTATTTTTTACAATGAAAAGTTACACAGGACTTTAGAAATAATTGGTTAGGAGTGCACACATGTCCCTCAGAGCAAACAGCCTCTGCCTAAAACAGAAATCCTTTTCATCGGAATGAAAAGGTGACAATAGAACTTATTCAGATTTTGTGAGCATAAAAAACAGCTAGCTTAAAAAAAAAATTATCTTATGTCTACACGAATACAGCTAATGCTAAACTGAATATTTATCTAAGGTCTGGTGCGAATTCACACGCCTTAAGTTAACAGTCATTCTTCACTGCCAGAGATTGGTATATCAGGAACAGACATCTGACCTGAAAAAGGCAGACGAGTAATATTAAACCCTGATTTCTCTAGTTTCCCAAGTTCAAACAATGCTTAGGTTCTCAATGATGATTAATTCAAGTGGAAACTGGCAAGATATTTAAAACTGAACCTTTATCTTTTCCTTATTACCTTGCTAAAAAGATTGACCAAGAATATTCTCTTCTAAATTACTGTGAATATTGTTTCAGGGTAACCATACATCTATCCCTCATTTAGCTCAATTATCTAAGTTAGCAACCATTCACAAATATGACAGCATATAATACCAATTAAAAATTCATTTCCAGCCAATGTACACATTTACAACCAAATGTCATCTGCCTGACAACAATGCCTGCTTGAGTAAGACTGGCCTACTGCACAAGAGAATTTTATCTGAATGAGACTGCAGCAACCAGTGGTCTTTGTAGTCTCTGTATGTTGTCTCCCTCCCTCCCATGTCCCACTAGTGACGATTCTGCTTAAGCTGTCTCTGGAACAAAACACAGACACTAAACGAGAAGTATGTCTATGGTACTATAGGAACTGCATTCAAGAAGGCAATTCATTCAGTTTATGTATTAGTTATAAAAAAACAGCATAATAAATTATTACAAAGAAATCTGAAGCAGTTTACAAATCCTAGGTCTGGAATTAAACTAAAATAAAAGCTGGAACAAAAACAACCCATTAAAAGCAGCATTATATTTGGTAGGGAAAATTAATAACCAATATATAACAGGGTTTTAAAAAAACATGCCACCATGTTGGGGTCTGGTATATTACCGGGGCTAACTAAAAGAATGTAAGTCTTAATTAAGAAGTCACAAATCACATGTACACAGGGACACCAGGTTTAAAAAAGCAAGTTTACAATTATACAAACCAAGGGAACTGCAATAGAATATGCCATGTAGCAATAGACTATACTGCTAGGATAAGCACTCCTGCTCCAGACTCCTGTGGGCAGGCCTGTTATAGCGATAGAGAGTTGGGTATTTTTCCCATTATTTTCATTCTTTTGAGCTCATACTTGGAACAGGAAAATGTGTGGCTCTCCAGCTACTCCTGAATTATAATTTCCAGTATTCCTCAACATTGGTAGTGTTCCTAGAGTACAGCAAAATCTGGAGATTTAGCTACCTAATTTAGGTAACCTTTGTTACCTTTCAGTTTTTCCATAACTGGCTCCACTGACAATCTGCCCAGACCCCTTAGACATTATTTTTTAATATTCAAATGGGATCTGTCATTGAAATCATCTTCTACATATAGAAGGACAGATCTTGATGTCCTTTAGAAATTATTTCAGGTATCTGCTACTATCATATCCCCTTTTTTCTTTCTCAAAAAGTAACAATTCTAATGTCTTTGATTTCTCTTCACAAGATTTTTCTTTATCCCAGATCATTTTTATTGACCTTCTTTGAATTTGCTTGAGTTTACCTAAAATTTTATTACTGTGGAATTTCCAGGACTAGATAAGGAAAGTATGCTGTACAAATATTACGTCACATGATTTGGAATATGTATTTTTATTGATGCAACATTTGCCTCTCAGGCAGTCATGTCATATTTGTTTTTGGTTGTCACTTTTGTCCACTGGGCCTTATTTTTTGTTTGTTTGATTCACTTCATTATAAACAGTTGCATCCTCTGTCAACTCCTGTTGTGGTGTCATCTTTCTTTGATCTGAGAAACCTTTGCCCTCTTTTTCCAACTGGGTGTGCTGACTCATTGCATTCATTTTCCAATTTTTTAAATTTAGGGCGTACTACCAAGTTGTACTTCTGAGTGTGTCTCAGGCAGAAATTCAGACAAGCCTTAGAGGTCACAATGATAGAGTTCTACTTGTTGATGTAAAAGTCACCCACGATGGTTAACAATCAGCTCTCAGGTCATACACTTTGTAATACCAGTGCTTCGGGATATGATCCTTTTACTCATCACACATGAATGCACAGCCTGTCAGAGCTGTCTCTTTTTCCCTATTCCCACAAAATGGGAAACTCAAGAGCGTACCTGACTCCACAAGCTTTGCAAAAGGATTCTTGAAAGAAAAAAGGGGAGCAATTTTATTCCATAATTTACTTTTCCCTCTTGCTCAGATTCTGGTTGTTAGAATTTCCATGTGCTAAAAGTCAGTGCATTCTAATTCTGTGATCTTCTCAGCTAACTGTTTAACAACCATCTATGCACCATGCTTACCAGAGTAAGAGAGAAAAAGATCACATACACTCTTTTGGGGATATAGGTTTGCCATTCCCAGCTGGACTCCTTAAGAAACTGACCTCCACTCAGAATTCACTGGGGGAGAAGAAAAAGGGTCCATCTAAGAATTTCCCTTAATTAACTCTAACCACATTCAATATCAAAGATGTTTGGTGATCAAATGAGCAAGATTACGTCCCTAATGGAGTGAGATCTGATTATAACAGCACTCCAAATTCATTTAGGTCCCTTCTTTTTTTATTTATTGTATTACTGCAATTATTTCAACTCTCATTCCATTAATATTCACAGCCTTTAAAATTTACTCAAAGAATAGTAGCAATCTGCTAAAATAAGTTAGGAAAAAAGAATAATGTTACATAGAAATAATACCTGGTGTTTGATGGGAAAGGTATATTTCACCCAAGTTGCTTGTTGCATGGTTTCTTCTTCTTCTTGTTTTCTCTCCTTTTTTTTCGCCTTCTCTTTTTCTTCCCTTTCAATCGCTGTCATTCTGCGTAACCTAATCGTAAGATACATATAAGAGCATTTAAGGTATGAACCTGGCCTAGCATTGTCAAGTACTCTGGGAGAGATTATCGGAACTGCTTTTATACACACTCAAATGTTACCTGGTGTGACCCAAGGATTCCCTCCAAATGGGCAGCATAACAACTGGTTTAATTGCGCATTCCAATATTGCCAGAGCCAATGCAAATTCTCTAGGTTTGCTGCACATCTGGACAGCTTTGATCCAATTAGATCTGGGATTCGACAAAAATATGAAACACATTAAGTAGGTTGTGTTCACTAAGCCATCTTCAACAGCAAACAAAAACAATAAAATAGCAAGCAACAGCCACACTGATGTAAAAAAAAAAAAAACCAACAACCTTGAAGTGATGGTATAACTTAACCCTATCTTCACCCTCAATCCTGGGTCTATTGCCGTACATCTATAGTATGATAAAATATAAAATCTGGTGTTATTTTCATTTAAATCCCTTCTTAATGTCCCCCCACCCCCCGCAATGTCTTTTCTATTGCTGTTCTCTTTTTTGCAACAGAAGCACCTACCTACTGCTTTTATGTTTACCTTATTTTTACTCCTTTGTTTTTTCTTTATTTCCCCAGTGTTAAATGTTCAAATGAAAGCTCCTTAACTCTGGTGTGTTTTCCCATAATTTAATGCTCCTATGCCCAATATATCTATGAAAATCATAGATGCCTTTACCTGTGTGAAGCCCAGTTGGGATGGAGGAATGAGGAGGGGATGTTATTCTCTAGCTGAATTATTGTTAATCTTAGTGTAGATATTGTGAGAACTTTTGACCCATGGACAGAACCATTCCATTTGAACTCTCCGGCAGGACTTAGACAAAACTTGTGAGAAAGGTGACGTCTTTTGTCATGGTCTTCTCGATGTTGATGTTTGTTCAGAGCAAAAGAATTGGTAGCATATTGATTATGGTAGACACGATATTTCCCTTCTTGACCCAGCTTAAAATAATTGCTGATGCCTGGTTTCATGATTATTTCCTTCTTGGTATTCATTCGGGAAATTTCCCCTTGAGAATTAACCACAAGCACCTTATTGAAGTCAAAACAAAAGCAACAAAAGCAACAAAACTTAAGAACATTTTTTTAAAAAAAATATTAAATCTCAAAGTTTTAAACAAGGGGCAAAATTCCACAGTCTTTGGGAGCTACCATGTTAAGAATGAGCAATAATGTTTTCTATGGTATATATTTGACCACATAGGGTTTGCCTCTTATAATAATTAGTCTACCTACCTACCACGGTAGATATTGCTTTTAAACCAAAATTTAGTTTCTACACACTTAACTCTATTACCAGGTTTACCATTATCTCTTTTGACAGGGATGTTTTGTTTTTCTTTTTCTTTTATTTCTCTATTATTTGTAACACTTAAAAGTCTTTCTGGAACTCAACAATGCAAGTACTGTATAGTGGTAATAAATAAACACATGAACAAACCTTAATAATAAGCTAGGCTTGCATCCCATTAACATGTTTGGCCAAAAGAACATAAGCATGATTCACGATCTCTGATAGTAGCACAGAATTTTTGAATTCCAGAACAAAGAAACTGAAAGCACATGTTTAGGAAAACAAGTATCATTCCAGATTCAGAAGCATACAAGTATTATAATAATTATACACATGTGTGCATAGCTATTGATGCCTTCATTGCTGGCATTTTCATGCATATTTGTTTCTGGTTTTGTTTGTAACTCTTATTATTTTACCATTTCACTGAATCAGAACACTTTGTATTTTTCCACAGTAACACAAACCTCTTTGCCTTCTTTGAAAAGCTTATTTGCTTCATGTGCTGCAGCAGCAACCTGCTGACTTTTCAGCTGGCTAAGTTTGCTATCTGGATTTCGTAATCTAGTGACCATTCGTGTTGAACCTGGAGTACCTATTCCACTGTTTGGAGATTCACTTCTCTCACCATTAGATTTATCACCTATCAGGAAAAAAAAAAAGCTTAAATAGGAATATACAAATAAGGCAAATGAGCACAGCCATTTTACACTAAAAATTAGCACTCAACACATTCTTGTTATTATTAAGCATTATTTGTACCTAGATCCTCTGAGTTCTGAGAACCTCCTTCAGTGGTTTCCACTTCATCAGAATTCTTCACAGATTCACTCTGCGTAGAATTTGGTTCATTGCTACTGTTGTTTTCCGGGTCTGACAAAAGTGCTTCAGCAGATAAATCAATGTTCAAATTAGGAATTGTCTTAGTTGTTTCATCTACAAAAAAAAAAAAAAGAAGAAGCCAATTTAGGTACATAGTATTCACCTGAAGAGCACTTCAATAGAAAATGTTAACATCTGAAATCAGAAAACAGCTCTTAATTCTATGTGATAGATAAATATCTATATTATTTTAGACTGGAAGTAGGGAGGAGAGGGCAGATGGATAAGAAAAGCTATAAGGAAAAACAACCGCCCATTCATAATGTATTTAATATTAACTAGGGTTTATTTCAAGAAATCAGGTTGACAAGCCACCATCTGAAATTGATGTCATAATATTAAATATAGTTAACAAGTGATTATGAAACTGGAGGAATTTGGACACTTTGTGATTAATAGTCTTCCCCACAAGGAAGCTTTAATCCACAATTCTTACTAATACAAGATAGCAAGATTTTGGATTTTATAATCCAAAGAATGTCATTTATATTTTATTGTAAATGCCAGCATTAAACACTCAGTTGGCATCATTAAACCATCAGTTAGTATAACTAGCAAATATAGTAATGTGAAAGATGTTCATTAAACACGTTTAACCAATGTTTATTAATTTTGCACCAGAGTTTATGTAGACTAAATTTGTGCTGAGTCAGTCTTGACTCTTGGCAACTGTCTGAACTTCCTGTAGGCTTTTAACTAATATTCTTGGAAGTGACCTGCACTGCCTTCTTCCTAGGGCAGAGAGAGAATGACTGATCCAAGTCACAAAATACCTAAGATGGATTTAGAACTCAGTCTCCTGGTTTCTAACCTGTTTTCTTTAACCACTAGATCAAACTGTGTCTCTTATAGAAAATAAAACTGTAAAAAAATCCAGATATATACCAACCACAACTCCAACAATAGCAATAGCATTGAGACTTATATACTTCTACATAAACCATAGTGCTTTACAGTCCACTCTAAGGAGTTTACAAGGTCAGCATATTGCCCCCAACGAACTGCATCCTCATTTTACGGACCTCAGAAGGATGGCAGGCTGAATCAACTTGGAGCCGGTGAGAATCGAACTGCTAGCAGTTGGAAGAATTAGCCTGCAATACTGCATTCTAACCACTGCGCCACCACAGCTCAATAAAATCTGAACTGAACTATACAGCGATAAAGAAAAGCAAACAGCATTTAACTTTAGGAAACTACTCATTCAACTCAAGACACAAAAAACAAAACCATCTGTGTACCTGAAATATCCTTAAGATCTTCTGATGCCATGTTTTTGTCTGCCTTATTATCTTCAGGAATTTCTGAATCACATCTTACTGTATTCTTCTCTTCAGAAGCATCAGCCTCTTCTGCAGAAACATTTGTGATGCTGCTTCCAGGAAGTGATGGTACAGAATTGCTTTCATCACACACATTTCCTGATTCTATAGGAAATGCATGATAGAAGTTGATAAGCATTTTAAATATTGATTTACCAACCATTTATTTATACCTACCTTTACTGTTTTTAATAAATAACTCAAGGTGGGGAATAATGTTCATTGAACTTAAACTGAAAATAAATTCATAAAAAGCTGCTAGCAACATCTGTCCTAAATAGCATCACTGGAAAATTACATCTGATTCTTCAGTGAAAAAAATAGCTGTATTGATTATAAAATTTAAATATGTATTGTACACTGCTTAAAATGTATCAGCATTGCTACTGAAACAAATACATTAACTTAGCAGGTATATCACTATTACCTTCCTTTCCTCCTTTTTCAGAACTTTCCTCTCCTACTATTTCCTTGTTGACCTCCATCTGTTGGTTTGAAAGTTCTTCTTTTTCATTCTCAGTATCTGTGCACTCTTTATTATCAACCGTAGCTTTTTCTTCATCAGCAACTGAGCTTCTGTCCTCTAATATTTCCCCTTTTCTGCCTCCGACTGCTTCCATAATTTCTTCTAAAGCAAACATGGGGGTAGAAGATGAAAAGGCCAACTTTTTCAAGTATAAGAGTACCATCGATATATTCTGGTTTTTTAATGCACCATAACACCCTTTCAAGATACAAAATATGTATGCAGCAGATCTATATGTGAAAATGAACTGAGTACAACTGACAGTTGATAATTATGCAGCAATGTGCACATCATTAATTTTTTTCTACCTTTTTAAAAAATGGGGTGGCTCTTTAAAAAATGTCATTTCCAATCACGTTATCTCAAATTTATAATTGCAATAATTTACAAGTGAAATTCTGGTCCCAATTATCATAACTCAAGGAATACCTGTAACTTTCTATATTTATGCATCAATAACATCAGATACAGAATATCTGAAGAAGAAATAAAGAGGTATTCTGACATTCAAGAAATAACTAATACAAATGCAAAAAGAATATAATGTGGGAGACTTCAACCTGAACACTGGAGACCAAGAAGTGGAAACTTATCAGTGGATTTATTTTAGGAGAAAAGAATGCGGCAGGTGACCACTTGATGCACTTCTGTCAAGAAAACCAGTTGAGGATCACCACTATATGGTTTATTTAATCGAAATGGACATCTCCAAGTAGATGAAACTGTAGACAAAAGTATCACAATCTTATGCAGCCAAAGAGGGAAACAGAAATCTTTCTCATGAAACTTAGGTTGCTGCAAACAGTGGCTTTAATCATGGATGACTTGTATCAAAACTGGTTTCAGATTCACCTCGAAACTGTTACATGAACAACACCTAGAAAATATGATTTCATTTCATTTCTATAAGCAGTTAAAGTTGAAGTAAGAAACAAATTTTCCACTTTGTGGAAAAACCACTAAATAGGTTATGGGAAGAAAAAAGAAAAAGCTTCATCAATAATACACCTCAGGAGCATATCCAATCCCCACCACCACCACCAGCATGAAGGCAAATTGTTTTAAGGGAAAAACAATTCAAATTGCTGAACAGAGTAGGAAAGCTAAAACCATTGGTAAAAGATAAAGTAAGATAGCTAAATAAAATAATCTAGAAAAAGAAACCAAAGAAAATTATCGGAATGATCTTTCCAAAGAAATGAAAGATAGAAATGAAAAAGGACACACCAGAGATCTTTTTGTCTTAATAAAGAAAACCCAGACACTATTCACTTTACACAGAGGAACAAAGAGGCAGAGATGGGAAGGAAGTGAAGAATCGGAATCAAATGAAAACTAGATGGAAGAAACAGACTGAAGAATTGTATGTGACTACTAATGTTCTTCAACAAACTGAAATTTGAAGGAGAACATAGTGTACCGGAAGATGAGGATAATAGAGACACTGAAATGTCTGTCAAAAATGAAAATGCCTAGAATTGATGGCACTGTATTATCATATCCACAGCAGCAACTGCAAAACTATATCCAAAAGGTGGGATATCAGTAAACAGCCAAAAGACTGGAAAACATCAGTGTTCACCCCAATCCCAAAGACAGGTGACATATGAGTCTACTTCAAGCAATGTGTAACAGATCTGATATTAAATATTATGGAAAATCATACAACTGGGTCTCATCATGCAAAGAGAGATTCAGGTGATTTTAGAGGCACTTGAGATCACACTGCAAATGTTCAATAGAACATGGAAGTTTCAAAAGGAAGCATATCTGTAGTTAATCAACTATTGTAAAGCCTTTGAGGTTATTGAACGTAGAGTTATTCTGTAGACTGGTTGTAGACTGGAAAAGGTGTGCGGCAAAGCTGTATTCAACTGCCATTTCTTGTGCAATTTATATGCAGAATTGATTTTATTGAACATAAACAAACCAGAAACTGGACTATCAACTGGCAGCATAACTCTGCCAACCTTGTTAGCCATTCATAGGGCCCTAAAAACCTGGGTATCTTCTCTTAACATACACACGGAAATCTCTACCCTAACTGAAAATTAGATGGGATGGTGGAGTTAAATGAACCTTCAGCTAAGAGTTTTCCCAAGAAGGAAGATAATTAATTTAATCCACTCCATTCTCAGTGTGTTTATTCACTGTAATATTTGAAAAACATAAGACCTAAATGAGGGCCCTGAACGATCAAAAAATCTGTTTCAAACAAATAAAAACAAATCTACTGAAGAAATAGGTTGATAATTGCAAAGCAGAATCCAGAAAGATACCAGTTATAGTTGTTAAGACTATATACAGCTAGTAACCTAACCATTTGCAGAAAAATCCATTCTAATAAGACTTCACAGAGTCAGATGTGATGATTATTAGCAAATACAAATGTCCACCATTCTAACTCACTAATATTTTTTAAAATAAAACAATGCATTTTAAAAACTAAGTTAACCAATGGCTAGAAATATGACATCAGAGTCATTCATTAAATGGCACATTACAATCACAGTATCCAAATATGAAAAGAAGACCAACCAAAGATGCCTCGAAGAATCCCATCACCAAGATCACCTAAAAAATTGGTCCTTGACTTATGATTGTTAGGAATAACATAGGTTACCTAACGTAGTTTGGGTAAAATAATATATATAAACTATGATTCTAAGTTTAAGTGTGTGTCACTTTTAAACTGCAAAGCATGTAATTTTGGGTGCGGTTGTGAACCACCATAAGAGGGAGCAAGAGAACCTGATTGATTGCTGACGATACCTGACAATTGCTGACGATTCCTGACTGGTTTGATGGATTGATGGTTTGTTAACTGCGTGTTTCCCTACAGCTGAGTTGCTGAAGGAAGAGAGGAGTTTTGACTTCTTCATATCTCTACCGCGAGGAGATATATTACTCGACTGATATTTGTAAGTTTACTGACCTCTTTTTCGACACTGGAATTTGCAACTGAATAATCCCTGGATGGACTGAATTAGTGAATGATATATGGACTGTTTTACTATGCTATAACTCTTACTGGAATAAACTATTTAACTAGCACGGTGTATCTGTTTTACTGAGTGTAAGCTACAAAAACGTCTATCTCACATATTTTGCCTGCCTGCCTGCCTGCCGTTCAGATTCTGCTAGGGTGTATCCCTAACAATGATCATTCATTCAGTGACAGTTCAGAGGAACAACAATGCTGAATAGACTTACGACCATTCTCTGAAGTTATGGCCACTTCAATATTTCCCCTCCACTTTCACAATCATATGATTGCAATCCGGACATATGGCAATCTGTCTGTATGTACAGTTGGTTGTCAAGTGCCTTGCAATCATGTGATCTCCATCTGCAATCTTTCTCTGCTGGCTTCCCCAGAGAGATAATGACCATTATTGATATGAGGTTGCATACATTCTCCATTGAATAATAATGCCAACATGTATATCCAGTGGATAAGTCACTGGAAGAGTTTCCCCTGAATTATTTTCATTCAGAGTATTCTGCATTTACAAAACAAAACAAAAATCACTATGCACTTGGTTGTATTCAGCAAGATGCAATTAGCTGCCATTTTGTTCACTCCATCCCATGAGTGTGGAAATAAGCCAGAGAGATACAATAAACCAGTTTCCTATGTCTTATCTCTAAAACAATGGTTCAACAGATTGCAAATAGACCTACCTTGCTTACAAGTTATTAACTATATTTCCTGTTTGTGCGTAATGAAGTTATGATTAACTGTGGCTTCTTGGTTGTCCCAAAAGTGCTTTTTTCAAGAGGCAATTGGACTTTCTGGGTTTTTTTTTCCAGCTCAGCTGAAGAAGCTTCTTGGATGAGAAGCAAAACGTCTTCAAAGAAAAACCAGAAAGTCCAGTTGCCTCTTGAAAGAAAGCATCTTCAGGACAACCATGACCTGGATGGCTGAAAATCTCCACAGACGTGTGGTTTCTTGGTTTTTCATCTACAAAGTATAAGGGGTGGGGTGGGGTGGCGGTGGAGCAGAAAAGGACTAAACCCAGGCAAATATCTTTCTAGTGTATTACATCTTATTAGGATTTGATAGTTTAAGACACAATCATTAACCTGTAATATATATTCAACAGAGATGCAATGAATTACATTTTAATTATCTGTCTTGGTTTTCAAAAAACTGTTTTTTTTAAAAAAATCAAGAAAACATGACTCACTATTTGAAGGAGATATATGATAGCCCCAAGTCTGGTAACATAATGACTAGCACATTCTATTAAAGGAACAATCCTTTTGTGAGCTACAGGTGATTTCATCATATACAAGTCTATTTTTGTCATCCCTCAAAAATTCTACAACGGTACTTAGATTTAATGGAATCTTCTCAAATGGATTCCATTGTCATAAAAGCTGCTATTAGAAAACTATCTTTTTCAAATATAAACCAAACAGAATTTGGCCTTCCTTTTTCTTTCTCTCTCAAACAAATGGAATAATAATCACCAAATACTTAAGCAACATTTATTGCATGTCCAATTCATTCTGCAGATGAAATCCTTTGCTTTAGCTAGTACACTGCAAGTTGCTTATCTTAGCTGCATTTGCACACTTTTTTCAGGATTCTGGGATCCAATAATTATTAGGCTTTGTAAATAAATACTGCTTCCTTGAATGAGGACTACTTTTGGCTGTGCCTTTTTTCCCTACCCTCTTGCATTAATACCTCTTTCTCACAATTCTATTTTTTTTTTGGGAAAATGAGACATCATAATCAAAATTGTAAAAAGCTAAGATTAATTGGTTCTTACCATTTGCTGCTGCAAGAAAAGACTTGTTGCTGCCCCGTGCTTTATTAGTAAGGTCTTCTGTTATGTCCATGTGCCGATGAATTTCTTCACGCATTTCTTCCAGAGTTTTGCAGATATCAGCTTCCCAGTAATCTTTGTCTAGGCATTCAGTTAATTCTGCCAGCTGGACTTTTGTGCTATAGTACCAGATTCTCTTATGCTTTTCACATTCTGAATCTTCCTCTCTGTGATAGTATGAGAATAATAGTTTATGAGATATGAGGAAGGAAAGAATGTACACACACACACACACATACAGAAGGAAAACATTAAAAATTATCCAACTGTTAGGAATTTTTTTTTTCCTAATCATGTCAACATAACAATGAATCAAAATAATGAAGGTATTCCAAACAGCATTATGTACAAATTAATATCTGGATATAGATGAGGTCATTTCAACTACAATGTAGTGCAGTAGTCCTTGACTTACAACGATTTAGTGACCGTTCGAGGTTACAATGGCACTAAAAAAGTGACTTATGATCATTTTTCTGTTGCAGCATCCCCATGGTCATGTGATTTACATTCAGATATTTAACAACTGATTCATATTTATGACGGTTGCAATGTCCCGGGTCATGTGATCCACTTTTGTGACCTTCTGACAAGCAAAGTCAATGGGGAAGCCAGACTCCCTTAACAACTATGTTACTAATTTAACAACTGCAGTGATTCACTTAACAAATGCGGCAAGAAAAGTCATAAATTGGGACATAACTCACCTAATAAATTTCTCATTTAGCAACATAAATTCTGGGCTCAATTGTGGTTGTAAGTCAAGGACTCTCTGTATTCTATTCTTTTACAGACATCATCAAAATATACCTAATAACATTCTGCAGAGAATAAAATAGTTTACTAAAGGGGCAAAGAAGATTCTTAGAATCAAAATGAAATGGAACCATCAGTCTCATTTAAAACTAGGCAACCTCTGACCCCTTGGGATATTTCCTTACCAGATTCCTCAATGCCTTCAACTATGGCAGAGCTTCTAATGTGCCTCCTTCACTGGAAAAGTTCCCCAAAATTCAGGGAGATATTAAGAAATGTATTTGCCTTGAAAATAGTTCATGTCAAGCAATATGCAGTCTCCAATAACAAGAGTTGACAACAGTAATGTGTCCTTCTGACAATTACGTCCTAAAATGTTTTATAATATTTGCCACATTTCAATTCCATTAGAGTCAGCTTTAGACGTGTTCTATAAGTTAGCCCATTTAAAATACCTTGATTGAAAAGGTTTTGCCCTATGATGCACTGTTTTGCCCAATTAACTACAGACAGGAGAATTTTAATGTACACAGTTTTATATTGATAGATGAGAATAAAGAAGTATATTTATAGCTCAGGGTTGAAATGAGGAGTCTTTGGTTCTCTCTAAGCTTTGTTGTTTCCTGCAGATATTTTATTACCCAAACTAGGTGACATCATCACCCATGCAAGTGGCAAAGACCTCTTATCTATCTTCTATCTATCTATATAAAAGCGAAATACCTCTCATGCATCATCACAAAATCTCCAGAACCGTAAAGCTTACAAACTTGAAAGGATTTTTCAAAATGACCATCACAGTTTTAGTATTTTGTATATTATTTTTAACACGCTCTGATGCTAAGGAGTTCTACTTCCCTTCCCCACCTGAAAAGACATCTATTCCCAATGCAAAACACAAGCAGAGGAGTTTCAGTTTCACAGCATCAAGCAGCTTTAGTACAGAACAGTTGAGCTAAACCATGCCCGGGCTCCGTGCTGTTTCCTTCTTGCTCACAGAGCAAATATTGCTTCAGTTTCCAAACAGCTATGGATGCTGGTAGGCAGAGGCAGAATATTCCCATTAGTTTTCCCCAAAAACTACGTCTAATCACATAGTTTCATAGCGAAGCGCAGGTATCGAGTTAGTATAGAGATAAATACCAAATTAATTCTGCTGGGTGGTGGTAAAATTACTCGAGACATAGAACTTTAATTGGGAGAAAAATAATATAATTGATACAGCCCTTTCTCCAATTTGGGAAAGAACAGATGGTTACCTCTATCGCTATAATGCTAACTTTGGAAACTCTCTGAAACAATAAGAAACTCAATCTGTGCTGGGGAAGGCACTATGAACATAATAAGGATATGGCTTGATATATGTGATTTCAATTAGTTTAGAAACAGAAATGCAAGATAAACTAAAAATAATATGGTGGTAAAATTCTTTGGTCCTGCTTTGGTCCAGTTCTGTGGAAAAAATGAGTTTCAATATTTCTTCACAGACTTTGTTCTGCTATGAAATATGGAAGGTATGCAAAATTTGGTGTGCAAATTCATTTTGCTTCAATTGTCTAAGAATGTACAACCTATGTATGCACAATACATATGTTTGAATAATTTGTTTAGCTTTTTTTGTTATTTTTGTTGTAGATATGAGCGGTGCAAACTTAAGTAAATGTGATATGCTGGTTGTATAGGAAGTGTTTTCTCTCTTCTCAATAGATCTGATCTGTATAAGTTCACACCATTAAAATAAACAATGCATTAGGTCAAATTTTATAATCTGCAAAGAGAAGTTATTTTTTTGAAGCAAGAGGCATATACAATTAGTTCCACCCTGGAGAATCTTATTTTTTTAAAAAAAATATTAATCTGACATGATATTGTTGGTGATTTTTTAAAAATATTAATTTTTTAAATATTAATTTTGTTTCTCCAAATCTGATCTTCTAACAGAGACACAGTTTTCCAACTTAAGTTTATGAGAAGGAAAATGCAACATGGATTCTACTTTAAGAAACAAAGCAAAATTTATGCAGTCCCTTTGCAACAGTATATCAGATACAATACAATTATCCCAGGGACTTTTGTCCAAGGTTCTTGTGAATAAAACTCCATGAATACGGGTACAATATTTATATTAGGACCACCTTTGTGCCCCCCAGATGTATGGGTTTAATTCCCAGATCAATCCAGCAAACTTGTAGCTGAGAATTCTAGGAGTCTAGTTCATTGAGTTACAAATGTTCTTATTTTTCTTCAATTTCCCTTTCGCCAATAAACTTGCTTATGTTCTATACATCTTCAATAGTTGATTTTATAAAGGAATTTCTCACTGAATCAATGCCTGCATGTAAGACCACACGGTTAGAGAGCTTGCTTGTTTCAAGATCAATATGAAGTTTTTATGATCTATCACCCTGGCTGTTGAGCAGACAGCCTAATATATCTTTTCCCAACACATCTCTCAATGTATCACTGCCCAGAGTTAATTTTTGTGAGATGGGTAGCCATATAAATTTGATAAATACATAAATTTTTATTTTAACTTTGTTCTGAATAATATATATATACATACATATATACATACACACACACACACACACACACACATATATATATAAAAATCAAATCTTATTTTCTATTTTGATAGACCAGAGCTAAAGGGAGAAAAGTCTTGACTAGAAAGACTAAGAACTCTTCATATGGACAAACTAGGCAAGCGTCAATAGGTTTAGCCTAACTGGTCACAGCTAATCCATTGTCTTTTATTGGAACCTTTGAACAAAGTGGTCTTTAACAGTTGTGAGAACCAGAAATGCCCATACTAGTCTTGTCTCACCATTGATTTATATAAAATTTTAACTATGTTGGCTATTTTAATTCTAGTTCTGTATCCCAGCATGGAATTTACTTTTTAACAGCAACTGCACACTACATTGATATTTATACAGAATACAAAACAACAGGGTTGAAAGGGACCCTGGAGGTCTTCTAGTCCAGAGTTCCCCAATGTTTCCGGCTCTCTGGACCAGCGGAGGGGAGAAAAGATTGTTCCGTGCAAGTGGCAGGCAAGTGTGCGCACAACTCCACTTGTGCGATGCTCACACATCCCTGACTCTCACTTAAATGGAGAGCATATGCATGTGGGCCCGCTGTTCACGCAAATAAGGATGCTGTCAACTCATAAAATATTTCTATGGTCTTTTTAGAGTTGCCAACAGAAAGGAAGGGGGGAGTAGTGCAACCGCTTGCAAACTGAAACTGCATTCCATAAATCAGTGGTTCTCAACCTTCTTAATGCCGCGACCCTTTAACACAGTTCCTCATGTTGTGGTGACCCCCAACCATAAAATTATGGCTCAGTTCCTAAGACCATCGAAAATATGTGTTTTCCAATGGTCTAAGGCAACCCCTGTCAAGTTCAACCCCCAAAGAGGTTGCGACCCACAGTTGAGAACCACTGCCATAAATGTTTTCTAAGATAGTAACAAGGCGATGGAAGTTTCTGCCATTCAAAATTCTAGCTGGAGGACATGATTGATGACTCTGGGCTATGGATGTGTCCCATTGGAGAATATGAATTACCATACACCCAGGGGGAAAACCAGGCTCAAGGGTGACAATGAATTACGTCTCTCAGAGTTCGCTACACCCAGGTAGTGCTGGACAGTTTTATTCCCAATAAATCCTTTTTAAGTTTTGGAAGTTTGGCTCAAGACTCATGATTTAAATGGGGGTAACTGCCGGAATCCTGACTTGTTTGTGCACGCGTGCGCTCGCTGGCCATTTCTGTGGCCCGGCTGCAAACCCCTCACGGCCTACAGGTCGGGGCACCTACTCTAGTCCAACCCCATGCTCAAGCAGAAGATATAACATTCTGGACAAATAAATATTCAATCTCTTCTTAAAACCTCCAGTGATGGAGCACTCACAACTTCTGGAGGCAAACTGTTCCCCTAGTTCAGGGGTTAATTCTACTGATTGACTGTTCTCACTGACAAGAAACAAGCTCTTAGGTTGGATCTCTCTTAAGCTTCCATCTGTTATTTCTTATCTTGCCCTCAGATGCTTTGGAGGATAGGTTGACCACCCTTCTCTCTGTGACAGCCCTTCAAATACTGAAACACTTATCATGTCATCCTTAGTCCTTTTTTAATTAAATGAGTTATGAATTATGTTCCCGCAACTTTTTATTGTATGATTTGGCCTCCAGTTTTCTTATCATATTTTTGCTCTTCTCTGCACTCTTTCCAGAATCTCAACATCTTTTTTATATCATGGTGACCAAAACTGGTATTCCAAGTGTGGTGTTACCAGTGCAGCATAAAGTGGTACTAACACTTCATGTGATTTTGATACTTTGCCTCTGTTAATGCAGCTTAAAAGGGCTGCATTGGCCTTTTTTGGCAGCTGTGGCACACTGCTGGCTCATTTGTGTTATCTAGGATTATTAATGTCACTGCCATTAATACAGATATCATGCTAATCTGTACCTGAATGCTGTTTAATTTTTTGTTATACAACCTTTAATCCCTTTTTATTATGTGAATTCTTATATTAACATGCAGACATTGAGTTTTAACTAATATGCCTGCTGCTTTTGCAATGAAGTTCTACAAGAAACAAAAAATGACACTGATATTTAAGCCTAATGTTTGTATCTTTTAAAGTTAAGGCATACTGGGAAATTTCCTTCACAGTATGGAGAAGGGGGATAGAGGTTTTTCTCTTTTTAATATTTGAATTAAGTTATTCATTCAGGATTGAATAAAAGGTGTTGTTTACACCAGCATTCGGCAACCGGTGGGCTGCAGAGAAATCTCACCACCACCCCCGAGCATCCCCCCCAAAGCAATTAATCCAGGCTGCGCAGAAACACAAGGATGCACCACCCACATGGCCAGCGGGAACCCTCCCCACTCACTCACTCCTTACCCAGCAAACTTGCCTGCTAAATTGCTATTTTTCTTTTTTCCGACCATCAGCTGTTCTGCTGTACCGGGAGATTTAGATTAGCTAGGGAGCAGGAAATGGTTGGATTTCTTGCTTTCTAGCTAGTCTTTAGATCTTCGGCTCTGCTTTTAAGCACAGCCAAACCTCCCTTAGGACTGAAGGTTCTATTATTCAGTGCATTTATGTGACAGACTGAGCTAGCCGATGGCAGATAGATAGATCACTGAATGATTCTGTGAACAACTCAATCTGCCTGCCTATTTTGGGGTAAAAGCTGCTCTTTTTGTTATAAAAAAATCAATATTTACATACATGGTGTGTTGTGAGTTAATTTTATGAGTTTGCTTGCAAACAAATTTTATGTGATGGACTGAGCTAGCTGATGGCAGATAGATAGATCTCTGAATGAATTTGTGATTCTGTGAGCAACTCAATCTGCCTGCCTGCTTTGCCTGCTTTTGGGTAAAAGTTGTTCTTTTTATATAAAAATATAAAAAATTCAATATTTATATTTATATAAAAAAACTCAATATTTATATAAATATTTATAATAATTACATACAAGCCATACCCAGCCAGTCACATGACTACCAAGCCACACCCACAAATTAGGCCACACCCACAGAACTGGTTAGTGGTCCCTGTGATTTAAAAATATGAGTTTGGTGGTCCCTGAGGTCCAAAAGGTTGGTGACCCCTGGTTTATACAACTTGTAGTTAAACAGTGAATATACTGGGTTAGTTACCAATTTAAACAGTTTAGAAGGGGACTGAACGAGATTTAATTTATATAATCTCCTTAAAGTAGAGATGCAAAAAAGATGGCTTGGAGATGCATAGAGCTTCTCAACCTTCTTTTGTTTACACTTTCTTGAGATTAAGAGGAAAACAGCCTTAAGTCATTCAGGTGTAAAACTTCAGTTTTATCCTTTAAACCTAGTATGACCTTCAAGTCAGCACTTCAACCCTACGCATTAGCTTTCCCTGAAATACACATAAAAATACATATCATTTTAGGCAAGCATACAGCTTAATTTACAGCTTAAAACTGTAAATTACAGTTCTGGAAATGAATGATACCATTGTATGAAATGCACAAATGTAACTATTTTATAATTACATCAATTTACTTTGGTTTTTGTGAGTTACATTTTGTACTAAATCAACATTTCGGAAATATCCATTTTAATATCCATTTAAAATTTTATTTGGCCACAAGTTCAGTTAACATATTTCAACAATAAAATAAGAAATAATAGAATATATAAAATTGTCTTCCAACAAGGGTGACATGATAGCAGTGTTCCAATATATGAGGGGCTGCCACAACTAATCAAGGAGAGAAGTCAGCTAGAACTAAGGAGAAATTTTCTGACAGCGAGAACCATTTCTACAAAAATAGGTGGAGTGCTGGGCACAGTCTTCTAAATATGGAAAGGAAGTAGCAATGAGAAAAAAGTGGTAGCATCAAACCAGTGTTTCTTAAAGTGTGTTCTGAGGTCCCTTGAGGGTCCACCAAACTCCATGAGGGCTTTGCCAAACTAAAATTAATTGCAAGATATTGAAGATATTTGCAAAAGTATAAAACAGCATCACTCTTCTCATTATTTTCTGATCGTTAAAAATTATAGGATTTTTTTCATGAAAAATATTTCATTTATGATAATATCTAAGGGGTTCAATATTATTTTTACATGAGCCAATAAATTAAATATTCTAAAAATGCATCAATGATAAATATTGATAAATATGAAACATACACAGAGAGAAACTCTTTTGGGGCCCTGCATAATTTTTAAAACTAAGAAGAGGCCGCACAGCAAAAAGTTTAAGAAACACTGCATTAGATTAAGAAACCACTAGACTGGCTAAGCTCTTTTCTCCAGAAGATGAAGAAAGACCAGACAGACATACCTGCAGTGTTTGTCAAGAAAGTAACCTGGTTTTTCATGAGGAGGCTGCCTCTTAACTAATCCAACAGCTTGCACGCTTTTTCTGCTCTCAGTTATCACAACTACTAATGCTTAATGGATTTTCCAAACAAAACCTTTCACAAGAGGAAGAGATATGGTTTGTCAAGAATATCAAATCAGTGTAAAGAACCTAACTTTTTCCTGTCAAACAAGTGAATACTTCAAAAGCAAGAACTGACAATAGTTGAAAAAAACCTCCGTTTAAGAAGAATTCAGTAAGGGTTTTCTTATTTCGATGGATTTGGCTTAGCATTCTACATGAACACAATCAGTGATGAAAGTATAAATTGCAGACAAAAAATATATGGCTTTCTCTCTTCACAAATAACACCACATTTGATATTAGTTCATTTGGTTTAAATACACTCCTTTAGGAACAGAAATATTGACCACCATCTTAGTTACAAATAACACCAGAAAGAAAGTAAAACATTGCCAATATCTTATGAAATTAATTGTTATTTTAAAAAAATTAAACACATTAATACTGAAACTGGTCATTTCAATTCTGTTAAGAACCCAGAGCCACTAGAATCATAATCAAGCATAACAGACTGTCAAAGATCCCCAGATTCTCTCATGATGTACTCTGGATTAACAGTGCCTTATCTAACTTCTGTAAAGGTTGGCAAACAATACTAAAATATAATGTAGTTTGTTTTTGGACAAGCATAATGACATCATCTCTGATTATGGCTTTGCAATTTGTCTGTACCAGGTCACTTTGGTTTGTCTAATAAATCATAATGTGGTATTATGTATGATTAGACCAGTGATACACTAGAATGTCAACATTTGATTCTTCTGCAATGTCCTGTTCTTTGGAAGCAAATTATATCTTACTATCTTTTAATCTGGAATACCCTTATGCCTAATGCAGTACAAAACCTATTTCTTTTTGTCCTAACAGCCCTGTGAAGTAGACTGGGCTGAGAGAAAATAGGCAGTCAGAATAATCCAGTGGTGTTTCCATGGATGAATGAGGGGTCTCCTTGTTCTGATCCCAACACTTCAACCGCTATAGCATGCTGGCTGTCAAATAGAAAGATGTATCTGTGGTTATTCAAACCCCTCATTTCAGGCTTCTACCAGACCTCCACAAAAAATAAAACTGAACTCCAGGTTCCTCATCATCGTTATTGTCGTCATCATCATCATCCTGTAACTGCTTGCTGCATTTTAAATTATATGAATTTGTTACCTGGGTTTTCATATAAAAACTGCAAGTAAGATGGAAAATGTTAAACTGCCACTTTGAAGAAGCAAGTAAAATAGCCATTTCAGAGATACGAGGTGTAAAAACTATAAATTGCTTTCTTAAATTTTGAAAAATCCTTAAGAGCAGCACTAACACAAAAAGGAAAAAGCAACCAATTTTTCTAAGCTCAAATATCAAGTTTTAAAACTGAAAAATAAGCATCTGGCATTTTTCAGCTACAATTACCACAAACCCTTCCCCCGCAAATAATATGGGGATTTTGTTTAATCTTGTAAGAAACTATAACATATGAAGCCTGGACCCAAGTTAAAAAAAATCTATCCATCAAATGCCTTTTATTTAAAAGGTGTATAACATTGATATAGTTAGAATATGTACTTACACAACAATCCTCCTGTTCAGGAACCAGTATTTCCGCCTGTTTCTATCATATCCAATAGGTTCATGTCGAATGTATGGTTTGTTTTTTTGGATTTCAGCAATACAGTCTGTTACACCAGGCACCTTGTGTGCCACACAAACTTCACACTGCCATTCATCCTCTGGGACCTCTTCAAGAGGCGGTTTCACACACTCTAAGTGGTAGACAGCTGAGCAAGTTTCACAGCAAAGCAAGTCCCCCAGTTTGTGACAAACTCTACAATGGTCGTCATACTGTATCACCCCTTCTGACATTAATTCCTCCCGTGCAATGTTTGTTGTCAGAAACTGATCCACTAAAAATTGCAGAACTTGAATTTTATTTTTAACTGGTCCATAAGGGTAGTCCTCTGCCTCTTGAAAAGGAAGAACATGATGATACTCCTTGTCACTCTCACAGTATACCCGCAAAACCTCTGGCCAAGTCATCCCATCTATAAAATATAATGTGGAATTAACGCTATCTTTGAGGTCAGCAGGTCCAAAGGTAGTATTGGAAGTGTCCTCTTCACGTAAAACTGCTTTTAATAGCACTATGTGCATTTCAGCCATCAGTGTACACTGTTCTTGGCTTACTAGAGCAGCACAGAAGTCTTCAAAACGAAAAGGGGACAAGCGTAAAACGGTGCCAAAGTTCCGCAGTACCTCATAGATGGCAATAACATTCATGATATGCTCATTAGGCACCATTAAGTCCTCTGAGGATTTGGGCAAGTCAAGAAAAGGGATGTCTTTTTCTTCCAGGATTGGAGAACGCGGTCGATGTACTCTCTGTCGCCTTCTACCTATAAAATGAACAGTAAAGAAGTAAGAATGTGAGAAGAGTGAGCAAAAGCAGAAACATCCCCAGTGACGATCCTGACTGAATTTTCACTTGTTACAATGATATCTGCAGCTTTTTTTACAGGTAGTAAAGTAAAAAAAAAGAAAAGGAAAGTACAAGTAGTAGGTTTGTATAGGTAGTTGTCGACTTACAACAATTCATTTAGTGATGTTCAAAGTTACAGCGGCACTGAAATATGTGACTTACGACTGCTTTTCACAGTTACAACCTTCGAAGCATCCCCATGATCTTGTGATCAAGCTTCAGATGCTTGGCAATTGGCTCATAGTTATGACTGTTGCTGTGTGTCCCAATGTCACGTGATCCCCTTTTGCAACCTTCTGACAAGCAAAGTCAATGGAGAAGCCAGATTCACTTAACAACCGGGTTACTAGCTTATCAACTGCATTGATTCATTTAACAACTGTGGCAAGAAAGGTCATAAAGTGGGGCAAACCTCATTTAACAAATGTCTCACTTAACAACAGAAATTGTGGGCTCAATTAGGGTCGTAAGTTGAGGACTACCTGTATCTAAATCAACAGATATTTAATCAAACTTTATGAGCAGGCAAAACATTTCTGCTTTCGGTGGTTTACCTCCAAAATTATATCATGAAAAAAGTTTCATGATATAATTAGCTAAGACCTGCTGCTTCATTCTAGAATTCTAGAAAAACCTATCTGGAAAATTAATGTATCTTAAAGATAAAATGAAATGTCTTCATATTCTAAGGAGAATGTTTACAGACCTAAACAATGCTTACTATGTAAAATCAAATATATTAATAAAAGCATGCAAATAGCATTTTTACTGATATCTCTGCTCTTGCTAATTTGATCTTCTTCAGAGGTAAAGAAACTTCTTGGATGAGAAGCAAAAAGTCTTCCAGGAAACATAAAGTCCGGTTGCCTTTTGAAAAAGCACCTTTGGGACAACCTGACCTGGATGACTGAAAATAACCTCCACAGACATCTAGCTATGCACTATATACAAGGAAGTTTTCACTATAAGTTGAAAATTACTGATCCACAGTTGGACTTAGGGATTCTCATTCAAAATCAGAGAAGTGTCCTGCAGCATTCACCCTCCCTTTTGAAGGCTCCTTCAGAGAACAAAATGTAATCTCCAAGTACAAAAATGCCAGTTAAGACTAATGAGATTTAGACATCTCAATCTTCATTCTAGACCTAAATATTCCCAAAGCATATGAACAGATACGTGATCCCACTGCATAAGTGATCACACTTTCAAATAAAGATAGGACTGAGCTAGATTGTTTTTATTTATTTTTTTGCAGATCCTTCCCTTAATGTTGCACAGTAGTTGAAATGAAGGGAGCAAGGGTAAAATAAAAAAAGGTTCTGTTTGTTTGGCAGAGGACAGCCTCAAGCTACTGTCTGCTCTTTTACCAGCAATTGCCTGTTGGATTCAGGGAGGAAGGTGCTTGCCACTTCTTCTCTTTCCCTTTCGAGAGAGATTAGAGAATGGAGGAACATTTTGCTGGTCTACTGTTGTTTCCCAACCGTGACAATTTCCAGGCATATAAGATTTCAAATCCCAGTAGAATGTCGAATTCTATATTAAACCTTAGTTTATGGACTGTGAGGAATTGAAATCCACAGACCCAGAAGTGGTCAAGTTTAAGAAAGCCAAGTAGCTGCATAACAAAGGGAAAATGGACAATTGCCACTTCTCCTTTTCTCACCTGAAGGGTACACTCATTCCAACTCTGGAGATGATTGTTGTGGTCAGTAAATCCCTATCTAAGGTTGAATATGTTTTGTGGTTGAAGTTTGGCCTATTTAACAAATAATGGTTAAACAAACCATGATTCAGGATGAGGGAGTTTACTCTTCTAAATAAGAAAACTGCCTATAGTATTTATTTTGCTACTCTTCACAGCAAAACATTAATAGCACACAATTAACTGTTTCTTAGTAGCTTCACAAATAAGAAAATTAATCTGTTGGGATTACTGCAATTTGCACTCAAATCTCCATCCCCAACTAATGATACTTAGTGCTTTAACACTGTGTTTTTCTTTCTTTCTTTCTTTCTTTCTTTCTTTCTTTCTTTCTTTCTTTCTTTCTTTCTTTCTTTCTTTCTTTCTTTCTTTCTTTCTTTCTTTCTTTCTTTCTCTTTCTCGATTTCATAATGAATGAAAGGGCTAAACTGTACATCTAAATGTATCAATGGTTGTCATCTAGGCTGTTGTAGTGTGCATTAAAAGAAGAATCCACACGCTCGTGATAACTACATATTATGTTCTAATAACTGTTTATCTGAGCCAGAGGTGACTTTGCAGAAAAATTATGCAACATTCTGCATGAATACAACCCAGAAGAAAAATCTATTCTTCTAGGTAACGTGAATGAATTGATGGGAACAAGACAAATGAGTACAGAAAAAAAAATGACAGGACCATTCAAGGAATAAGAATGGATGAGATATCTTTTTAAAAAGTTATTGGTTTCATTTGCAAAGTTTAAGTTCAAGTCTACTCATATGTATGTATGTACATATGGATAGTCCTCAAGGTAAGACAGTAATTAGGACTGGAATTTCTGTCAATAAGTGATTCAGTTGTAAAGTATATCATGCAACCACATCACTTAGCATAGTCAATCCTCATTACCGTTGTTAACTAAATTGTTAGGCAAAGACTGATCCAAGCCATTCCTAGCTTGGTTGCTCCCAGCCCGAGTCTCAATAATATAAGGGACTCCTTCTTCTTCAACCTGCCTCCCCCTCCAACTCTGTACTTCTGGCTGCCCTGTACAGTGGCACTCCTTGGTGGCAGTGCTAGAGCTCAAGTAGACCGCCTAGGGCCTACTATCCTCGGCTTCTCTACTTCAGCCTGTGTTGCTGTTGTGGTCCACCGGCGGCTGACAGAGCTGGCAGCAGAGTCGGACAGTAGCGAGAAGGTTGGAGAGGAGCCTGAGCCAGTCTTGGAGGCTAAGGAGGGCTTGGACAAGAACTCTGCATCGGAGGCAGGGATGGGGCCAGGGCAGGCTGGCAGTCATCAGCTGACTTCAGACTCAGACAGCAGTGAGGCAGGGGTTTCTGGAACCAATTCCCAACCTGTGCATGTGCAGGGCTACTAGAAGACGAGAACAACTGAGAAAGCAGAGTCAACTCAGGAGTAAGACCACACCTTGGGAGATGATTGGCCCCTGCCATAGGACATAAAAAAGGAGTGAACGGGACATGAGCTTTTGCAGGAAGCAATTATTTGTCTGGTCAATTCAAGCTTTGAAAAGTTCAGTTTGACTCTGTGTCAAGTTTGGCTTTGCCCTACACCTGGCAATTAGTTCTCTGGCAGCATTCCAAGTGTGATAAGGTGGGTATTTATAAACATTCCCCTGAAAGACTGTTTGTGAAGCCTTGCAGGCCGTGAATGAATGTGTTTCACAGCCGTTGAAATAAAAGACGTTTTGATGGAACTAAGATTGTGTTTTATGCTTTCTAAGGAAGCCTAGGTCAGAACAGTTGCCACTACTACTGAAGAGTGCTGGCTTACAGGGTGGCTAGGAAGGCAGAGATGGGAGGAGGAAGATGGCTGGGGGAAGCTGAAGAGACTCTGTGGTTGCAAATAGGGGTGGGCTGCCAAGTGCCCAAATATTGATCATGCGACTGTGGGGTGCTGCAACAGTCATAAACTTGGCAACTGAGCATAAATACCATTCCTTCGGCACAGCCATAATTTTGAGTTGTTGAAAAAATTGTTGTTAAGCAAAGACTTCCTGTGTATCCAATGGAACACAAGTTTAAAAGCATGACCCATTTGATGATGTTGAAGGACGAAGAGAAATATGAAAGATTAAAATGTGATGAAAAGTTTTGAATGTTGGACAGGCCAATTTTTGGTAGTGTCAAGGGGTGCTCTTGGGAAAAACTGACACGGAAAGAAACATGTTGAAGAAATGGGAATGAAAACAAAATAACTGCAGAAAGAAAAAATACAATCCTATATGAAAAGATACTGGCACAAAAATTAATCTCCCAATATTGCAAGTAGTTTTAAGTGGATGTTAGATAATCATAAATGGAAAGTGGATAAGCAGTCATAAATGCTGGGAGAATATCAATAAATTGCATAGCTGCAAGTGTAGGCTATAAGTGAAGAAATGTTAAATGCATATGTGGTTTGTCTACAAAGTGACAGTTGCTTGACAATCGGAAAATACCCAGGGCAATAGCTGATTTAAAAGGAAAGGTAGCAGGAGTCAAAAATAAATATTCAGGTAGTTTAGTTTCAGAAGGTGTCAAAATGTTGAATGGAAAGGTATGAAATATGATATTGGAAAAAAAATCTGAGCTATACAAGGTAGTTTTCTGCAGAACAAGGGGTTATGTACCAAGTTTTTGCTCTTCAGCAGGTGATTTAAAAATATGCATGCATGTGAGAAAGATTGTTAAATGTATTGATTTAAAGAAAACACCAATGTTTCTCAACCTAATTTTCAGGTCTCAAGAACCCCTACATAAAAATGGAAAAACAACACCCACAATACAATTCACTTTTAACTTACACAATCTTTGCTTTACAATGGCAATTAACAGCAAAGCAGCATGCCAGAAATTAAGAAACAGTATATAAAAATCCTTACCACTGCACCCATTAGCACTGCAAGGTGAACAAAGCAACCCCCCCAAAAAACTTTAATTGTGATCCCAGAGAGAACCCCATGTACGTGCAAAAAAAATACATTGCTTAGCAAATAGTTCAACATTAAACTATAAGTAAGACAAGGTTGTATGGTGTCCACTTGGTTATTTATGGTAAACAGGGATAAAGAAAGAAAATGGCTATATATAAGACTGCTTCTGCTAAGTGAGAGCTGGGTATATTAGGAGAAATCAGAACTGACTACAGTCTAAAAGGGATATTTTGAGTACTTAAGAAGTGATTGTTGCTCACTTTTTCAAGGAGATAACATGTGAATGGATGCAAACTGG